ACAAATATTGATTTAACAAAAATGTACGCACTTGTCGATCATTGGTTAATACACATACGCCTAGATAGAAAGTTACGGAACTATAGATAGTCGCAATTAAAAATATATACATGTTTTTGAATATAACAGAGAAACATCCAGAACCAATTTGATTTAAATACAGGTTGATATCTTACTTGCTTTGGTTCATCAAAGCTATGGACATAGTAAAATCACAGATTTATATTTCATTTAGATTGTTCTCGAACAGTTCAAGAAATTTGTCATCACCACAATTGTTGGGTATAATGTATAATGATGTGAACATGGTTCTAAAAGTACATTATGCTAACTTTTCTGTTCCGACATGCATGTTATATATATATGCCACTGGACGTACACTAATGATCCCCAAAAAATCTATTTGAAGAAATAAAGAAACTTCACTCCGGATAGACTGATAGTATTTGTATTAATGTCTGATTAGCTAGAGGGTTGATTAATTTATTTAGTTGGCTTGTGGGGGAATTAACCATTCCCAATATTGCACTTATACATAAAATATTAAATGAGAATAATATAAGAGAAAATATAAATACGAAAAGTCGCATATCTGCATGGTAAAAAAAAGTCTCACTGGCAACTATAGAATGTCACGTACAATTGTCATTCTTAATCGAAATAACGGACAGTCATTAAAATACATGCATGTACACTTTGATAAAAAGGGGTGCCGCAGTTGCATTTTATTCATCATAAATCTATTTCAAGTATATACTTTCCTGTCATTCTTATAAGTTAACGCAGAGACATGTAACTATACATCTCTAGTTAACGACAATCAACCATATAAATATTTGAATCTGATGTGACTTACCGTTCATCTCTTTCTTTTTTCTTCTTTCTTTTTTTTATTTGGGCAGGTACACAAACATTGTAATGTTAGATATACTGTTCCCAGGTTGAGAGGGGGCGGTGGTTGGAGGTAAAGTATATCGAAAGTTACAAAATAAGAACGTTGTATTTATGAATTTACATGAAGAATTCTGATCTTGGACGTAGGTTTCGTTATTTTTTAGTTCAGTGATTTACATTGAGAGAAAAAAATCTAGTCAGAATTTAAATCGTACTGCCAATTTCCACCTAAGACTCCTCTAAAGTCATGAATGATCATGCTTCACAATCATCAGAATTTTCTTTGCATTGGTACATCATTCTGTATCGGTAGTGATTTACCTTGACACTTCCGGGTATAACAGAGCTACTTGTATATTACCTGTATGTGGTTAGGTGACGTCCCATGAGGTCTTACGTATACAGGTTCACATTTATAATGGTTTCTGATATAACAAGGTTTTATGACATTCACACTTCTGCATGTTCTGTATACCGAATTCTTATCTTATTTTCAGACCAAACGAGGATGTGAATATTTTCCAGGAAAAATATTGAGTATCAAAGTATCAAATTAATTTCGGGATTTTTTTTCTTTCTTGGTATTAAATCACAGAAATTGATTCCGCCGGTCGGTCTCCATTCAAAAAAGGAAAGTTGACGTTAGATTGATTCTGTTATTTTTTTTTTAAACATCGTTGGTCAAATAGCTAAAGTATGTATACGTTGTGAGATTTTAAATATTTTAATAAGGGCATTCCCGATTAGGTAAATGTAGATCGCTGTGGACAGACCAGGTACGTCTAAACACTGCTAAGGACCTCCTGAGTGCACTCAGGACATACAAAGTGCACTCAGGACCCTTTATAGGCATCGTATTAGCACACAGGATGGCTGTATATATTCGTTACATGCTACTTATTTATAAGAGTTAAATTTTGGTAGAATTTGAAATCGAACTTAGATAGATATGTCAATTCTTATAAAATAATGAGGGCACGTGTCACTGATTACACAACTACTGAGCCGTGAATTATTCAATCAACAAAATTGATTGGATTATCTTTATTGTTGTTTATGAATTGTGTTGTTAGTACAGTGTTACGTTTAAAATTAATAACACAATGTTTTAAGTTTTTAGGGATTGTTTAATGTAGTTAAATTTAAATTATGCATAGTAAATTTTACGTTTATGGAGAAAAAAAAAAAAAAAAAAATTCTATGGATACCTATGGATCTCCAGAACGATGGCACTGTTGTACCATTATATTCTGCTCTACTTCATCATTGTTGTATTTAATTGTATTTAAATTATCATATTTGGGTATTATTTCGATGTTCTTTTTCAGTTTATTTTTCATGATGACGGCTAAATTAATTTTGTTGTGGTCTGCAGTTCATGCATAAAGAAAATAAAAAAATCGTGTTATTTTATAGTTGCCGTTTTTCTGTAACAAGTTCGATTTTTGTTTTTCTTTGGGATTTTCTTTTTTCTCTCTCTCCAAATCAACTTAATAAACAAAAACAATGTTTACTGAATATCAAATTTTATTGAATTTGTATATCTTTATTCTCAATAAACCATAAACATAGGTATAGAGAAGACAATTATGTACAATATTTACAATGAAAATATTTAGATGAATTTATTTATATGATTTGGCAAGTCTTATATCTTGGCTGCGTACATGCTGACCTTGTTCTTTTTCTTTGGTTTGGCTTACGAGCAAGTTTCTGGGGTTTTGGCACTTCAAAATATGTGCACGAAGACTTAGTCGTGGTTTGGACGGATTTCGTGTCAATCAACAGTCTCCGAAATAGTCTTTCTCGCTGTTCTTTTGTTTTCGAAAACCAACATTGAAATGATACATCATGTTTTCTGTACGGACCGAAATGTTCATAATTTTTTTTTACAGTAAAATACCAAAATATGATAAATGGCGAGAGTTCAATATACGATAGCACTTATTTAGGACAGTAAACTGACAAAAATAAACATGGGAAGAACTGAGAAACAAAATTAAATATTTTTTTCATTTGTTTTACAATAAAAAAATCATTTTTTTTTAATTTAGTTTAGAATCATACTACAATCTTACTTACAAAATGTTTAGAAATAATACCCAAATATTGTAATTTTCAGAAAACGGAGACAAATTCATTTTTTTCAGAATTTATTTACACATTGAAATTAGTTCTAGGCTTGTATTACTGCATGGACAAGAACGATTTAAATGAGAAATAAAATCTTACTAAATGCTGATTTGTTAAACATTTATATTACTCAGAAATAAAATTTAGACATTTTCTTTTCACTGTTTTACAACAAATCATTCTTCAGAATTTACTTTTACATTAAAACTGCTCAAGGAATCTTAATACTGGACAAGAACGAGCTCAATGTTAAACCAAATCTTACTACGTGAAATAATCGCCACATTTTGCAATAATTTATATCTATATTTTTGAACGTTTTCAAATGAAATGAATTGAATTAAAATTTCCCAACTATATGTAGATTTCTCATATTTCTCAAATGGCTTCAACTATTACAAACAAAACGAAAAGTTTATTTAACATTTTTTTCTAAAACAATATATCTTCATTGTTCTTTATTTTTCTAAAGACATCTTGGTTTTGTTTGTTTGCCAAGCTTACTTGTATGAGGTTAGCACCATCACTAATCACTCCTAATTATTAAAGATCAAACGACCTAATCAACATGATAATTGATATTCAATATAATCATAGGTCATGCCTGACATATTTCATAAAATCGGTGCGTGCCAATGAAAACTTCAATAACTTCTTAAATATTAAATTGATTTTATCAAAACAAAAATTATAAGATGGAGAATTAAATTATCTATCGAATGCATACCTTCACTACTCACTAAAACAACTATTTCATGTCCTGAATGCACTTTGTATGTTCTGAGTGCACTCAGGAGGTCCTGAGCGGTGTTTACACGTACCGGGACGGACCAAGCTATATTAATCATGTAACCGCGATAATTTTCTCTAAACATTGAAATATTCAAGGTTAATACCCATGATAATTTGAAAAAGTAAGTACAGTGTTTGGTTTATACGCTCGTTTTCGTTGGCCATTTTTATTTATAAAATTATTTAATTGAAAGTAATTCAGAATATCGATGTTACAATAAAATACTCACCTATCTATTTTAAAATTAAGCTTACGCAAAATATAAAAGATATATATAACGGCGACTCAGGTATTTTGCCACCATATTCCTCCCTAAATAATTAATGTTTTTATCATTCATACGAAATGTTGTTCACAGCTGTAACGGTGAACCGGCCGTGTTGGCTAAAATTCACTGAGTGAAGATCAAAAGAATAGAATTACAGAATGCTTATCTTTTAATTGCCTTGAATTTAACCACGCATTCAACAGGTAGTCACTAAGTGTCACAGTACAATACACATTGTATTTACACAGTACTAGTTGGAAATGATTGCTAGACTGAAGTAAAAGCCTTCAGGCGAGAATACAAACATGCATTTGTAAAACAATATCATTCGATTATTCAGTTATATATGTTTGTTCAAAATAACCATCGGAAAAAAAAATCATAAAAATATATTCTATTGTATGATTTACTTTTATTACTATAATCATATCAGAAATCCTTTAAATATAAATCGTACATTTTAATTTTGAAAGTTGCACGGCTGATCACTTTACTTTCTTAATTATTAGTTGGTTAATAGCTACGCCAAAAGTCATCGTTGCGCTTTAAATCGCGTTATAAGATGATTAACGAACAAGACTTACAATGAGATTTATTCACTCCCGGCATGCAAAAAGACTTAAACTACGTCAAAGAAGTCAGGAAGGTTCGAATAAATTAAATTATTAATTCCCAATTTTCTTCTTTATTAGTGTTCATATCCAGATAAAACTTGGTGAATATGTTTTTTATGGTATTATGAACATGATAAGATGAAAAGTAAAAAATCGTGAATTTTCCCTTTAACCTACACCCCTCCCTTCTCATTAATCTATTTATACTGGCAAAACAACTGTGCAAAGTACATCCGTTAACAAAGAAAACAAACAGAGTATGATGTCAGAATACAATGCAAACTAACGGTATACATACTGCTGCCACTGGAAGTAATATATCCACAAACAACTGGGCCAGGGCATGCTTGATGTCACGATCTTTCACATCCAGGAAATACTGAGCCAGCTCATGTAAAAATGACACACTTGCTTCAAACTCCTCTATTGGATGCATCTACAGAGAAAACAGATTAAAATGTTATTAACATAGGATTACTTCTGTAAAACTTAAATTAAAACCACCTGCTTTATACACAGAGGTTGAAACAAGTTGAACTGTGAGCAGTAGATCACTAATGATACTCGGTTGACAATATTTTCTCGGGGTAACAATCTGCTTTATCACCCTCTCAGCTATAATGTTTCTAGATTTTTGTACATTTGACTATGTTTTACTTAAGTTTTGTACATTTGTAAATAAAATTTTGAGTTCTATTTAGTTCATGTCTCTGTTCAGCTAAAATCTGATATCAGGTTTCCTGGTGATAGTATAGGGACAAAGTGTTGGGCACTCATACCTGCCAACTTTCACGATTTAGGCGTGAACTACACGATTTTGACCCCTTGTCACGATTGCACGATCGTGATCTAAAAAAAGCTCTAAAACAGGCTTTTGTGAAATTCTACAAGAAAAAAATGATTGTTCCCGATTGTGAATTTTTCCCAAGGGAAGACAATCGTGATCAGCCAATCAAAATTGTTGTTTCTCATGATTATTGGGCATTGCAAACATGCTAAATTTTGAACTTATTTGGAATATTTGAGTTGTATTCCTCTGTCTGTATGTCAGAATTGTAAAAATCGTGATCATGGCAGATGAATTTTCATCTGCAACAAGGTTCTTACACAGGTTAAGAAGAAAAGCATGGCTGACTAACAACATTCAAAGATATAGTGCTACCATAAACATAATCAATAGTAGCTTATGGACATTATACTTATTGTAACAGATCATGCAGTGTTGTCATTCTTGTAATTAATTAACAAAATCATTTAAAGTACAATGTACTATCTTTTATTTTTCACAAGGAATCAGATAAATGTCCTTCTTTGTGCATATTTTAAAATCGGAAAAGTCAACAATCACTTTAATATTCCTACACAAGAAAATATATCCTAGTATTCTAGCTACATGTTCATCTTTTCTACACAATAACTTAAGTACTAGAATCATGCAAATAAAAAGAAGAAAAAGGCTTATACGGTCATCATCAGTATACCATATAAAATAAACTGCTTCGCTGAGTGCAGCTAGATACGCCCGCAGAGGTCCAACCCTGAACAGTTGGGGCAAAAATGGACACAATATTCAAGCTTGATACAGGTCTGAATTTGGATTGTAATTAAATATTTGACATATTATAGGTTTCTGAATAAATGTAGTCAAAGAACTTGAAATTGGTTATATGAATTGAATTTATATTCAATTAAAGATTTCTTGCTGTTGTGCAATACACTGTGCTTTTGCGCAATACTTAGTTAATCTGTTGTCAGACTATAAACAAATAAAGTTCAATTAATTCTCAATGTCATATTAGAATTTTTTGAAAATGTAAAGGGAGCTTACATCAATAGATATAAACAATTCACCAAAATTTCATGAGAATTGCTGACAGCATTTTTGAGTTATTGTCCAAAAACTGGAAAATCCCCCCTTTTTTAATGAATAAAACCCCATAACTCAGAAATGATAAATGAAAAATTTATAAAATTCTAAACGGAGCTTACATCAATAGATATAAACAATTCACCAAAGTTTCATAAGAACTGCTGAAGTTATTGTCTGAAAACTGGAAAATCCCACCTTTTTTAATGAATAAAAACCCATAATTCAGAAATGATAAATGAAAAATTTATAAAATTCTAAACGGAGCTTACATCAATAGATATAAACAATTCACCAAAGTTTCATAAGAACTGCTGAAAGCATTTTTGATTTTCTGTCAGAAAACTGGAAAATCCCCCTTTTTTATGAATAAAACCCTGTAACTCGGAAACGTAAAATCTAAAATATATAAAAATCGAAAGAGAGCTCATGTCAATAGATTTAAACAATTCACCACAATTTCTTACAAGTTGGTGAAAGCATTCTTGAGTTATTGTCCGAAAACTGGAAAATCCCCCTTCTTTTAATGAATAAAACCCCACAACTCGGAAACGTAAAATCTAAAATTTATAAAAAACGAAAGGGAGCTCACGCCAATAGATATAAACAATTCATCAAAGTTTTATGCAAAGGAGTAGGGGCATTAAGACCCCTTTTTGGCCTAAATTTTTCGGAAATTTTAAAACACATGAAAAGTTAAAAACTTGTATTGTTTGAATACTTTAAGAAAATAGCTTGAGATTTTTGATATTTTTTTCTGTCATATTGCGTCGATGACGTCACAATAACAACGTTTTTGTGCCTATTTCGGACGTTTTCCAGTAAAATTTTGGAAAATTTGTCAAATTTATATAAAATAAACTATGTGCGCACACAAGAAACAACTTTATATTCATACACAATCTTTATCATGAAAAAACACATAGCATACTCAAATATCTTTTTGTTTCTTGCATGCGCACGGTATGAAAATAAACGAAATGTGAGCTGATTTCAAAGGACAATTGTACTTGTAAAACGTTGTCGTCAATTCACGAACCTATTTCTTAACAAAAATAATGAATCATATGTTATAAAAATGGTCTGGAAATTATTTTGATAATATTTGTAGTAAGAATAAAATTACGTTTCTTGACCCATGATCGTGTCATTGTGTCACCATGTCCGTACTAAACGCGATCGAATGCGTGATCGGGATACTCAATAGTTTTGAAATGTTCCAAAATAGCAGACGATAGCAGCCAGATTGTGTTGAAAAAATATTTCTTCCATTAAAAATGTGCATATTGTTGTAAAAATGAAGCACAAATAACAAAAAACAGGTTAGTAGAGTGAGAGACCCATATTCGCCGCATAATTCGTTCATTTCCACTTACATCCGACCTACATTCGAATATTTGGAACTTTTTATAAAGGATTCAGAAATTTAACTATATGAAAAAAATGTTTGATAAAGAAATTATCTTCAAAACATTGGTTAATTGTTCTAAAAACGAACGCAAACTTAAGAGGAAATCAAGTTGTTCGTGTACCATGGGGGACACATTTTCGCCGAAATGTATGACATGACCATCCTCATTATCCTGGTATATTATAAAAACGAATGTTTGCAATTACATGAATTAGCTTGAGAGATCATTCCTATGCGATTTTTCTCACAAATATTTACTTTAAGACTGCACATGATTGCCATATAAATCTTACATAATTGCCAAAATCATTTAAAAACACCTGCGTATTTCTCAATATGTGCGAATAACCTTGGAAATGGGGTAAAGAGGAATATCAACAGTTGTAACATTACAAACAGCCTTTTAGGCAAGTATTGGATAAAGGCTCACAAATTTTACAGAAAAAAATAGCAAAACGGCGAAAATGTGTCCAAGGCCATTATGCGCCACCCATTCTACAGTCATACAAAGTGAAACTTGATTTTTGACATTGAACTAAAAGTATATCGCGGAATCTACCTTTCTATTTTTATCCCCCGTAAACAAATGATCAGAACATTTATAAAACTGGTGCCTCAAAAGTTATACAAACCGTTTTACTGTTATACATCCTTTACTATGGATACAACTGTTGATTATTTATATTTTTGATGAATTGTTATATTCAAAGTAAAAGAAAACCACTGTTAATATGTGTTCAAAGCTTAGAACAGATCAGAGACAGAGGACTTGACTGGACACATCAACTCCTGTCTCAAGTGTGACTTTAAAAATGTAAAACAGTCTGATTATTATACTAAAAGATCCACTCTGTTAAATTATAATCTGTTTTACATTTCACTTATGTATGCAAAGAAACAAAACAAGTAATATATCATATTTTGGTTTGGAAAACCATCGTTTCTATTTTTTAAGTAGCCAGTAAACAATTGACGATTACCTCCCATATCAATCTGTACAAAAAATACTGTTATAAAAAATAAAATATTTAATTTTTTTTCAAGAATATCAATCTATATATAAAACATCTTGATGTATGTTTAAACATTTTGATAATATAGGATATTGAAAAAATATACATATCAATTATACATTGCTATCACGAAAAAAATTATGCAAATATCGTAAACTTTCGAAAATGAAAGAAGACTAATCTATGAGTATATATAGAAAATTACAGATATGAGATTCTCAAGAAAGCGTAACGATTAAAGCATGATATGATGGCAAAATCAGTATATTGAATCCTAGGTTTGTTTCAATGTAAATGAATGTCGTCAATACATAACTAATTGCGTATTTTTAAAATGTTAAAAGATGAACTGATGATTTATTATGTAAAACAAATGATTAATTGTTGCTTGCTTCAATGCAAAAACAAACAAATAATTATACAATAGGTATATTATAGGCTGTTTAAGGTACGCTGCTTAAATTCAAAATAAGATTTTTTCACGGCCAATGGAGGTATGATATGGAATGAGCGAAAGGATTTTACATATCAACATACATGCACAACATAGCATGATTGCGGGACCTCTCAGACACAGGCTGTTGTCTCAGAAATATATGTTATTTAAACTGGTTGTCTAACATGACGCCGGCTTTTAGGTTTTGACTAGGCGTCCCCATTTTGACCAGATGTAGTTGCGTATTTATACATCCCGCACAACCGTCCGGGTGCCCCATATTTGACAAGGGTTTTAACTTAAGATCTTTTATGACAGGTCGGAAGTAGACTAATCAGTGACATACTTCCCAGTCAGCTGTTTGGGAACATCAACTTTTAAGTCTGTATATAAAAGATAAAAGACGAGGCATATTAAAAAAAAAAGAAAATCAAAAGAATGTAATTTTCCCGATAATCCTATATGTATATGCATAAATTATTCCAAAATAAAAATTAACTGATGAATCTATTTTTCTCCCTTATGCATTGAAAACAAGTTTAACTTCTACTTTCAGCATGCCTCCTCTTAAGTGTTATCCATGTGTTGTCTGTAGTAAACGTACAAAACCGGCTGAAAGAAGAAATTTAAGTGGTAAAAAAAATAAAGAAATCCGGAAATATCCTGTAAATAAATTATTCATTCGTCCACAAGAAGTTATTGAAGGTGTAACATGTAATAAATGTAGATTATTCTGTGGAAAAGAAATACAAAAGAAACAAACTCCAAAAAGAAAAACTGAGTATTTAGACAACGATCCAGATTTTATTCCAGTTGTAAGAAGCTCTAGTAAAAATTATGTTGATTGTCGTTCACCCCCAAGTATTCAGCTTAAGTTACCATCTACAACAGCCAGCCACGCACCATGTGTAGTATGTAAACGTCATGGGCCAAAACTTGTAACAGTTCCAAATTCTGCTAGATATGACTTATTTTTACAAAGACTTATTATTTTACCACAAGGTGCAAGATGTTGCTCTGGACATCTTTCAGATGACTTGTTTTCCAGCTTTTCGTGTGAACAAATTGTTGAAAAAAAAACCATCCAGCGATTTTAATCGTACAGAAATCACCAATTTATTGAAACAAATAAGGGACATAGCGCTAAAAAATAGTAAAAAGCGTATTGACTTCGACTCCCCAAATTTTCTTTCAGAAAGTGATATATAATTTAACTGGCTTGACAAAGGCTAATTTTGATGATCTGTGTTCTAAGATCCAAGACTCACCCATGAGGGATTCACACTGCCATACTATTCGACAATGCATTGGCATTTTTCTTACTAAACTGAAGTGTGGAATGTCTAACAGATTACTGTCCACGTTATTCAACTTGGGTCGTGATGCTACAAGGCGTGCTATTTCATCTGCCAGAAAATATTTAGTTGAAACCTTTGTCCCTGAAAATCTTGGGTTTGAACATATATCACGGAATCATGTAATAAATAATCACACATCTCCATTAGCACAGTCCCTCTTCGGTGATATTACAAATCCTGCTATCCTTGTTGTAGATGGAACATATATATATATATATACAAAAAAGTGGCAATTTCCAATTCCAACGAAGATCATTTAGCATGCATAAACACAGGCCATTGGTAAAGCCAATGATTTTGTAACTACGTCTGGGTATATAGTGAGTGTGATTGGACCATATATGGGTGACGGAAAAAACAATGATGCAAACATTTTAACTCATATCATTAAAAGAAATATAGAGAAAATAACAGATTGGCTTTAGGAAGATGACATATTAATTGTAGACCGTGGTTTTCGAGACTCTCTTGATCTATTAAATGAATTAGGTATTAAGTCTGAAATGCCGTCTTTTCTTGGAAGGGGAGAAAAGCAACACTCTGTCGAAGAGAGTAATACAACACGCCTTGTAACCAAACTTTGTTGGATTGTTGAATCAATTAATGGTAGGATAAAGTTTTTTTGATATTTGGACAAAGTCTTACCTATGAATCAAGTTCCACACATTCGTGACTATGTACAAATTGCTTGTTCTTTAATTAAGCGTTATTTCAAACCAATGAATATAGGTGATCCACAAGCTGCTGGGTGCAAAAATGCTTTTTTTTGTCAAAACAAATTAATGAATTGAAAAATAAAGTTGAAAATGATGGTTTGGACAAACGAAGTTATAAATGGTCCAAGATAGATTCAACAGATTTTGATATTGAATTTCCACGTCTGAACGAAGAAGAACTTAGAAACCTAACTTTTGGAACATATCAACTTAAGATGGCAAAATCATACACAGAAGAACACTTCGACTCTGAAGGAAAATATGAGGTTTTGATATCTACTGAAGATCAGTTTCTGCTATCTGCTAAAATTCAAAGCCGACATATAAGTTCAAAATGTTACCAATTATGGATTTCATTCAATGATTGTGTTGTACTTGGTTGGTATTGTAAATGTAAAATTAGTAGTCGTGTAGTTCGTATGTGCTCTCACATTGCTTCAGTAATATGGTATTTGGGTTACGGCAGGTATACTGACAAACAATTCCGAATTAACAACTGGGGTCAGTATTTATTAGATGCTAAGAATATTCCTGAACCCGAGGAAATTGATGCAAGTGATGATGAAGCTACAGTTACTGAAGAATGACTATACATATTATCATTGATAACTGCACATGTGTTAATATATGTGACTTTCTTGAATTATACAATCTTAAACATGTATCATGGTTGTCAGCTTAAATTCAGTTTAAACTAAGACACAATCTAATAAATTATCCGATTGGAGTTAACTTGATGTAGAAATATTAAAAAGATTTTTAAATAATAAACTTGAACAAAAGTAAATTGAGGCAACTACATGCAATATACCTGTCCTTTACGTTTGTATTAGTTAAGTCACAATAAGATTCGTTAATTCTATATTTTTTCAACTTTTCCTAACTTAAGGGACATTTAACTTGTCAACAGGGCACTTTTCATTTTAACCGACTGTAATGAAAGATATTTGTCATGAAAAAAATCTATGTTTGGTTATTTTGAACAAAACATAATGGTACACAGTTCATCAAATCTCTCCGCCTTTCCTGTGAAGAAGCAGTAAAATTGATTCCATCAGTATAATATTATATATTCCAAACTCCTGTAGAAGAATAGTTTCATATGTATTTAAGCTCAGCTAAAATTATTATAAATTTTTATAGGCTGAAATAAATAGATTGGCAAGTTTTATGATGTTTCTTTTTTCAAAATAGGGAGATGTGGTATGGTTGTCAATGAGATAGCTATCCACCAGAGTTCAAATGACAAAGACAGTTTAAGCAATTATAATAGGGCACCGTATTTCATTGCGTTGTTTTAGTCACACCCATTAGCCATTATATATTCTTCCATTTAGTCATACAGTAATGCTATAGTTACATAAATATGTTAACCTTATTTTAGCATATAACTTTGAAATATGTCCACAACAATGAAGCTCTAGTGTTATCAAAACATCTTCTCGGAATGAAAGAATAAAATGAATGGCTCTATTTTATATGATGAAGACATGTTCATCTTACTAAACATTAGAATGGAATTTGGTTGTCATGGTGATATTTCTGATAAACGAATTGCCATTATTGTTTTCTTTGATTTGAATACATATTTTACGCATCAATATCAAATATTTATACATAAATTGATAATTCAGCCAAAATGGCCATTTAAAGGAATAATTGCACAAAAAAAATATTTGCGGTTACCATAGCAACCAAATCAAAATAAATAGTTTCATGATAATAGATGGAATATTATTTTACAATAAATGCACAGCATACATACCTAATTTACTGATCACATGAATTATGATTTTGATGATTTCAAGATATTTCAGTGGTTTTCAGACGTATCTTTAAAATCATATCTACCTCTGTTACCATGGCAACCACATTTTAAACTTGGGTATATATCATCAGTACATGTTACCATGATACATATATGTAAATATTAACATCATTCTAAGTTGGGCCAAAAATGACCCTTAATGCCCCTACTCCTTTGTTAAAGCGTTTTTGAGTTAATGTCCGACATGTTGACAACGGAAGGACAGACAGATGGACGGACGGACAGACAGACAGACAGACAGATGGACAGACGGACAGAGGGACAGAAGGACGGACAGAAGGATATACGGACAGCTGTATACCATAATACGTCCCGTAAACGGGCGTATAAAAAAGAAAAAGATAAGACACTTTTTTTAGAGCACAAAACAGCGCACGCAACAAACACCACAAAAAATTGTAACCTTTGAAGTTGTTGTCACGCACTTAAACCCCCCTGGGGATTTTCAAAAGTTGGCAGGTATGGCCACTATATGTCCTGAGTGGACTCAATACCAACTCCCTCCTGTTATCCAGAATTTGTCTAATATACTGAACAATATATAACTTGCCAATATAACTGCATCCTAAAAATGTGTTAAAATTTTATGAATTCAAGCAGGGATAACTACAGATTTAAATTCTAGCATCTTAACAGTATTATTTCTCACCTTTACTTTGAAATACTTCAGCCCTGTAAGCAAGCTAATTATACTCTGAGCTGTATATGGTGTTTGATCACGAATCTTTAGTTCACGTAATTCTAGGTTAAAATGTTTCTTAACTGCATGAAATCTGCAATCAATCAAATATAATATAGAACAAGATTATTTACTGTAACATGTGACGTAAGACAGTTTTACCATTTTACAACTTACCAAAAAATAATAACTCATTGATAGTTCTTATATTTGTATTTGAATGGGATTGGTCTGTTTGAATTTTTTTCCTTGGCTTACATTTTAATCGACCATATGATGGAAAATTTCACTGTGATTTATTCATGTGTGATACACATACGAAATTGAAAAAACCCTACAGAACTGTTATTCATATTCTTATACATAACAAAAAAGAAATTATGCATTAGTCTTTCTGACTTTTATTCAGTTTGTGAGTTATACGGCCCAGTTTACACTTCAATAACACTTAGAACTAGAGGCTCTAAAAAGCCTATGTTGCTCACCAGCATCTTCAACAATGGTCACTTTTTAATAAAAATCTTCATAAAATGGGAATAACTCTATAAAAAGTTAACTGACAATTTCAGTCATGTTGACATTTTTGTAGACCTTATTCTGCTGATTATTTTTCCTTTTTAAAGTTTCTATTTATCTATTACAGTTTTCAAGATAATAGACATATAAAATGCTCTGCAGGGTGCAGCTAGATCTGGCATATCAAAAAACCGAAATAATTCAATTTTTGATGAAATCAAACAAAGTTTAATTTTGGACCCTTTGGACCTCAATGTAAAAACTGGCCCCAAAATCCAAATCGAAATATACTGTCAGATTCAGCATTTCAAAGAACCCCAAGAATTCAAGACTTTGAGTTAAACCCCATTGAAATTGCTCAAGAAATAAGCAATTTATACAAAGAATTAGAAAAGTATTGTTTTAGCCCCTTTTTCCTAAACTGTTAGGGCCATAACCCCCCAAATTAATCCCAACCTTTCTTTTTTGGTATGGAACCTTGTGGTACAATTTCAGAGAGATCAATACACTTATACATAAGTTATTGTTCTGAAACAAGAAAAATGCTTGTTTTCTGTCCCAAATTCCTAAACAGTTAGGACCATAACACCCAAAATCAATTCCAACCTTCCTTTTGTGTTGTGGAACCTTGTGGTAAATTTCCATAGAGATTCATACACTTATTCTCAAGTTATTGTCTGGAAACCAAATGTCTTCAGACAACGATGATGACGACAACGTTATTACATTATACAACCGCAAAAATTTTGCGGTCGTATCAAAAGGCTAGTCATTCCTGCCTATCAAGTTTATTAATTTTTCACAAACCCTATGAATTTTGGTCAATAAATATTTCACTTATATAATCATTTCAAGCTTTTTGTCAAATTTTGTCACCTTATGGTCCTAATAATTATGCAATAGTAAAAGTAAATGGCACATTTAAAAGTAAACAATACTATTAAAAGTAAACGATACTGTTAAAAGTAAATGATACTGTTAAAAGTAAACGATACTGTTAAAAGTAGCGATACTGTTAAAAGTAAATGATACTGTTAAACAAGAGTGCACACGCTGAAATGTCTCGCCTGCTTTACTAACCATGATTCGTTTTTGTTGATAGTCCTCAAGCTAAAGTTTTACTACAAGTATCACATAAACTTAAAATTATCAATGATCCATGAAAATGAGATCAAGGTCATATAAACCAAGCCAGACAGACATGAACACCTTACAATCATTCCATGCATCAAATATAGTTGACCTTATTGCTTATAGTATCTAAGAAGCAGACTGAAACAGGAAAACTTAACACTGACCAATGAACCATGAAAATGAGGTCAAGGTCAGATGAACCCTGCCAGACAGACATGTACACCTTTCAATCATTCCATACACCAAATATAGTTGACCAATTGCTTATAGTATAAAAGAAAAAGACAAAACCATGATAACTTAACATTGACCAATGAACCATGAAAATGAGGTCAATGACAAATGATACCTGCCAGACAGACATGTACAACTTACAATCATTCCATACACCAAATATAGTTGACCTATGGCTTATAGTATTAGAAAAACAGACCAAAACACAAAAACTTAACAGTGACCAATGAGCCATGAAAATGAGGTCAATGACAAATGACACCTGCCAGACAGACATGTACACCTTACAATCATTCCATACACCAAATATAGCTGACCTACGGCTTATAATATTAGAAAAACAGACCAAAACACAAAAACTTAACATTGACCAATGAACCATGAAAATGAGGTCAAGGACAAAAGACACCTGCCAGACAGACATGTACACCTTAAAATCATTCCATACACCAAATATAATTGACCTATTGCTTATAGTATTAAAAAAACGGACCAAAACACAAAAACTTAACATTAACCAATGAACCGTGAAAATGAGGTCAAGGTCAGATGAACCGTGCCAGACAGACATGTATCCCTTACAATCATTCCATACACCACATATAGCTGACCTACTGCTTATAGTATCTGAGAAACGGACCTAATCACGTAACTTTAACCTTAATCATGAAATGAGGTCAAGGTCAGGTGAACCCTGTCTGAAGGACATGTAGACGTTGCAAAGAAGCCATATACCAAATATAGTTATCTTTTTACTCATAATAAGTGAGAAATTCACATAACAAAAAAACTATAATCGTTCGCTGAACCATGAAAATGAGGCCAAGGACAATGGACATATGACAGACAGAAACTTCGTAACATAAGGTATCTGCATACAAAGTATGAAGCATCTAGGTCTTCTACCTTACAATCATTCCATACACCAAATATAGCTGACCTACGGCTTATAATATTAGAAAAACAGACCAAAACACAAAAACTTAACATTGACCAATGAACCATGAAAATGAGGTCAAGGACAAAAGACACCTGCCAGACAGACATGTACACCTTAAAATCATTCCATACACCAAATATAATTGACCTATTGCTTATAGTATTAGAAAAACGGACCAAAACACAAAAACTTAACATTAACCAATGAACCGTGAAAACAAGGTCAAGGTCAGATGAACCCTGCCAGACAGACATGTATCCCTTACAATCATTCCATACACCACATATAGCTGACCTACTGCTTATTGTATCTGAGAAACGGACCTAATCACGTAACTTTAACCTTAATCATGAAATGAGGTCAAGGTCAGATGAACCCTGTCTGAAGGACATGTAGACGTTGCAAAGAAGCCATATACCAAATATAGTTATCTTATTACTCATAATAAGTGAGAAATTCACATAACAAAAAAACTATAATCGTTCGCTGAACCATGAAAATGAGGCCAAGGACAATGGACATATGACAGACAGAAACTTCGTAACATAAGGTATCTGCATACAAAGTATGAAGCATCTAGGTCTTCTACCTTACAATCATTCCATACACCAAATATAGCTGACCTACGGCTTATAATATTAGAAAAACAGACCAAAACACAAAAACTTAACATTGACCAATGAACCATGAAAATGAGGTCGAGGACAAAAGACACCTGCCAGACAGACATGTACACCTTAAAATCATTCCATACACTAAATATAGTTGACCTATTGCTTATAGTATTAGAAAAACGGACCAAAACACAAAAACTTAACATTAACCAATGAACCGTGAAAACGAGGTCAAGGTCAGATGAACCCTGCCAGACAGACATGTACACCTTTCAATCATTCCATACACCAAATATAGTTGACCTATGGCTTATAGTATTAGAAAAACAGACCAAAACACAATAAAATGCTCCGCAGGGCGCAGCTTGATACGACCGCAGAGGTCGAACCCTGAACAGTTGGGGCAAGTATGGACACAACATTCAAGCTTGATACAGCTCTGAATTTGGATTGTGATTAAATATTTGACACAGCATAGGTTTCTGACACAGAATGAATGTGGTCTAAGAACTTAAAAATTTTAAATTGGACATTCACCTATTATGGTCCAATATCCAAAATCTAAATACATGGTTAGATTCAGCATATCATAGAACCCCAAGAATTCAATTTTTGATGAAATCAAACAAAGTTTAATTTTGGACCCTTTTGACCTCAATATGGACAAAGTTGATAACGGGGCCCAAAAATCAAAAATCTAAATACATGGTTAGATTCAGCATATCAAAGAACCCCATATATTCAATTTTTGTTGAAATCAAACAAAGTTTAATTTTGGACCCCGATTTGGACCAACTTGAAAACTGGGCCCATAATCAAAAATCTAAATACATGTTTAGATTCAGCATATCAAAGAACCCTAAAAATTCAATTTTTGTTAAAATCAAACTAAGTTTAATTTTGGACCCTTTGGACCTTAATGTAGACCAATTTGAAAACGGAACCAAAAATTAAGGATCTAAATACACGGTTAGATTCGGCATATAAAGAACCCCAATAATTAAATTTTTGATGAAATCAAACAAAGTTAAATTTTGGACCCTTTGGACCTCAATGTGGACCAATTTAAAAATGGGGCCCAAAATCCAAAAACTTAATACACGGTTAGATTCAGCATATTAAAGAACCCCAAGAACCCCAAGAATTCAAGAATTCAAGAATAAAACCCCATTGAAATTGATCAAGAAATAAGCAATTTATACGAAGTATCTTCTTTTGCACAATACTGTGCAATTGAATATTTCTTGCTATTGCGCAATACTGTACAATTGACAATTTCTTGCTATTGCGCAATATTGTGCTATTGGATATTTCTTGCTATTGCGCAATACTGTGCAATTGAAGATTTCTTGCTATTGCGCAATACTGTGCAATTGAAGATTTCTTGCTATTGTGCAATACTGTGCAATTGAAAATTTCTTGCTATTGCACAATACTTATATAATAATTTACACATCCTGTTTGGTGTGTATCTCCTACCATATCATTATTATTTGCTTTTAAATATAAATCAGAAATAACCAACTTAAAATGGAAAATTTTAAAAGAATAAAAAAAGGAAAAAAAGAAAAAAAAAAAAATCCCCCCCCCCAAATTTTTTGAACCCCTTATGATTCATCACCCCCAAACTCAATCCCAGCCTTCCCTTTGTGGTATGGTACCTTGCAGTACAATTTCAGAGAGATCCATACACTTGAACACAAGTTATTGTCTGGAAACTAGAAAAAATGTGTTTTTTGGCCCCTTTTTGGCCCCCAATTCCTAAACGTTTCAGGCAATTACCCCCAAACTCAATTCCAGCTTTCCCTTTGTGATATGGAACCTTGTAGTACAATTTCAGAAATATCCAAACACTTACACACAAGTTATTGTCATGAAACTAGAAAAATGCTTGTTTTTTGCCCCTTTTTTGGCCCCTAATTCCTAAAATTTTGAGGCAATTACCCCCAAAATCAATTACAGCCTTCCCTTTGTGATATGGAACCTTGTGGTACAATGTCAGAGAGATCCATACACTTACACACAAGTTATTGTCTGGAAGTTACAAAAATGCTTATTTTTGGCCCCTTTTTGGCCCCTAATTCCTTAACTGTTGGTATCATAACCCCCAAAATCAATCCCAACCTTCCTTTCGTGGTCTTGAACCTTATGGTAAAATTTCATGGAGATCCATTGACTTAAACTAAAGTTAGAGTGCGAAAACCAATGTGTCTTCGGACGACGCCGGACGACGCCAGACGACGACGACGACGAGGACGCCAACGTCATACCAATATACGACCAAAAAATTTTTAGTTTTTGCGGTCGTATAAAAACTTAACAGTGACCAATGAGCCATGAAAATGAGGTCAATGACAAATAACACCTGCCAGACAGACATGTACACCTTACAATCATTCCATACACCAAATATAGTTGACCTATTACTTATAGTATTAGAAAAACAGACCAAAACACAAAAACTTAACATTGACCAATGAACCGTGAAAATGAGGTCAAGGTCAGATGAAACCTGACAGACTGACATGTACCCCTTACAATCATTCCATACACCACATATAGCTGACCTACTGCTTATTGTATCTGAGAAACGGACCTAATCACGTAACTTTAACCTTAATCATGAAATGAGGTCAAGGTCAGGTGAACCCTGTCTGAAGGACATGTAGACGTTGCAAAGAAGCCATATACCAAATATAGTTATCTTATTATTCATAATAAGTGAGAAATTCACATAACAAAAAAACTATAATCGTTCGCTGAACCATGAAAATGAGGCCAAGGACAATGGACATATGACAGACAGAAACTTCGTAACATAAGGTATCTGCATACAAAGTATGAAGCATCTAGGTCTTCTACCTTCTGAAATATAAAGCCTTATACAAAAAGTTTTCGCCGCCACCGCTGTCGGATAGTAATACCTATGTCTCACTCAGCGACAAATCTCAGCGACATTTGTCGCAGGCGAGACAAAAGCCCTTCAAATGTCTTACCTAGAGAGCGTTAGAACGCCAATCACTTCAGCATAAAGATCACTAATAATACTGATGTTACCAGAGTTAGGGTTAGTCTGAATACTGCAAAATAACAATTAAATGCATTAATCATAATGAGTATGATGATCAAATCTGCCTGTCCTGTTTTGATCTTACAAAAATCAGGATCTGATATTCATAAACATTTTTTCTAATATTGCTATCAATTGCGATGTAAGACATATCGTATTTTGTGATGAACAGCAATGTGTTATTACAGCTACTGATTTGTAGATCTTATTGTGGAGAACAGTTTTGCATTTTATGTTTCTATATACTATATAACTGCAAAAATGGAAAAAAAAAACCTCTTTCAAGAACTACTCTCAGGGGTCATTTGACGATTTCAAACATGTTGACTTAATTGAAGACCTTATTTTGCTATATTTTGTTGCTCTTTATCTCTCTTTGTTTCTGCAAAAATATCATAAAATGGGTAAAAATGGTCATTCAGGGGCAATAATAACTAAACGGGACTATTTCGGCAATGTTGACTTATTTGTAGATCTTCTTATGCTTAGCATCTTTGCTTTCATGTCTTTTTTCAAACTGTCGAAATTGTTTACACTAGATTCTTGGCATCAACGAACTTGTATTGCCTGGTTTTATTGCATTTACTTCATGAAGTTTCTAACCGTTTTACTAAAAACATTCCAGAAAGATTTATGGAATGCAACAGTTTAAAACTTAAATGAATTTAATGACTAAAAACAGCAAATTCTTAGGAATCTGCAACGCTTCTTTCGATTTTGAAGAAAAAATAAAAACCAGATGTTTCAAGTTAAAGTCATATGAAACAACTTTCTTGTAATTATAATGTTATCGAAATTATCAACCTATGCATGCATATATACTAAAGAAAGTCCTGTATGCAAGTTTTTTACATTTATTACAAATCTATAACATATTATAGACAAATAATATTTCATTCAGTGATTGTTCATCGCATGTTAATTAACTTTCGAGTATATATATATGTTGCCGAAGTTTACTGGATCATGACATTGATAAACAATCAACACAGAGCACTAGGAGCCCTTAAAAAATAAGTGAATTGATAGAGACATATAGGCAAGATAATTTTTTTTAATATTTTCTATGCATTCCCATTTGTTAATTTGTTAATCAAACTTTTCCTTAACAGTTGTTAAATGATTTGGTGTATTTAATTTGTTCTTTAAGAATCAGTTATTACTATTTACCTTCCAGTGTACGTTTGTTTACATTCTTTCACTTGCACTGTGCGGTGGCCGAAGTTCTAACGAGAAGTCCCGTAGTTAAGGTCACTGCATACAGGAAAATATAGGCGAATTAGTGTACGGGAAGACAATAATTCAACAGCAGTACAATTATGTAGATTTTGATAAAAGAAAGAATTTGCTTTTACAATAAAGTTCATGTACACTTGTTTTATAGTAAAACTTAGCCATTCCAGTGTATAAAACATATTCAACTTTTTTTTAAATTTGAAGTTTCATATGACTTTAATACTAAATTACGAGTGATTCCAGATTTATTTATGGGATTCGTTCTGTTTATCAAATGACAGGAAATCATCTTATTTTTAATTCTATTACCTGTAAAAGTGCTTGTATATACTGACAATGGTTTCACACGTTTAATTTACCATGAAATCATTTTGCATTTTACAATTAAGTGTCTAATCTGGTGAAGACAATTTCACCTATGCATATTACATAGTAAATAAAGCACATCTTTGACTTGTGAAAAATTACTTAATCCAACGTACATTTAATAAAAAATCAAATTTTTAAATCAGAATTGGCGATTTTCTTTACTGAAAAGTTCTTAAATAATGAAGTTAGTTGTAATCTGGGACTATTATACTAACGGGATAAGAATCTTGTAGGTTTTTCTTTACGATATGACCTAATTACCTGTCTCCACGAGATTTAACGAGACTTGTGAGGATTTGGAGTGAAAGATGTTAACGGCTGTATAAATTTACGGAATAATTCCAAAAGATTGTCAAAAAGTTTTTATTGTTAAGTATTGAACGAAACAAAATATAATTTGTCATTAAGAATGACACATAAAAGAAAGATTTTCAGGTTGTGCAGTGATTTAAAGCGTAGTGAAATCGCCACCGTTTTTATTTATTATCCCTTTGCATTTAGGCACAATTCTGTAATGCAATATATTATTATATAACTAAAATTAATTTTATTGTATGTCTCAGTTGATAATAATCAAATAGAAACAAACAAAAAAGGAAAGAAAATTATAATCGCAATTGCCTTTTAGTGTTGTAAATAATGAAATTATTATTCATTCTAACTATCTTTCTGCTTAAAGCCAGTATGATTTGCTGATACTATGTTTTGGTTTACACACAGAAACCCCTTATGTTAGCCTTGGTTTAGTTTGTTTGGAGTCAGTAAATTGTCTATTAAGATCAATTATGTGGGTTGCTGTCTTGACTTTAATTGAGATTTGCTCTATCAGGATCACTCAACAGTTACAAAATAATTACACAACCTCCTACTAAAACTACAGAAATAATAGTTACACTATGAGACTTCAGGAAATATATAATAAGAGACTACAATGAAAATACAATATGAGACAACAGATTACAAACACCATTGAAGTTTGTATAAGCTAATAAAATAAACTTTAATTTCTGTCTTATTGTTTATTTTATCATTTGGAATATTAAATTAGATATTTTTTACATTATTAAGACAAAGAAGAAATATTCTTTGCTGTACATGCAAAATCAAAGAGTAAATAGTGTATCAGACAAAGTAAAAGACAACTCATTCATTGTTACAAAAATGAATAAATAAAAGGTACCTTTGATCAGTAATCAAATGTATAATAATTAAATTTAATAATTTTCTACTAAGTAAACAATTTGTGATCAACACAAATAATATTTAATGAAATTATTCATTTTGGCACTTTTTAGGTGAAAGTTCATTTTTTATTGTTTCATAATAAGAAAATAGAAACAATAAAATGCTCCGCTGGGGCGCAGCTTGATACGACCGCAGAGGTCGAACCCTGAACAGTTGGGGCAAGTATGGACACAACATTCAAGCTTGATACAGCACTGAATTTGGATTGTAATTAAATATTTGACACAGCATAGGTTTCTGACACAGAATGAAAGTGGTCTAAGAACTTAAAAATTTTCAATTTACCTATTCATACATGTGATGGACTGTGAAACTCAGATCAGGAGATTGGGAAATTTTGGTCAGGAGATTTGGACTCAGATCAGGAGGTTATTAATCGACATTAATTTTGTTGTAAATGTAACCGTGTGCTGTAAAAATGGTCTTTTAAAGTGTGTTTTCTTCAACTTTCCAACCAATTTATTATGTTTATAGTACCCTTGTACTTATAAAGTTTCTCCATCTTTATATTCTACATGTTCAATCTAACATTGTTTTTTTCCAGTATGTTCTTTAAATTTTTTACTTCATATTCTATAAAACAATCATTGCAACCAGAACATTTGTTTAGCTGTCTGCAAATAGTTTTTATTTTTTTTTTTTTTTCTCTTGCAAATAGTTTTTATTTGCAAACTCAGAAATTCATTCTATCTGTAAAGTTAGGGTCATAGTTATTATATAAATTTCAATTTAAGCCTTAAAAGGAAGTATAGAATCCTCAAATAATTTTCAAATTATTATTTTTTTATTTGTCCTAAGACATTTAAAATCATTTAATAACCATCCTTTTATGATTATTTGTTCAATTTATATTTTATTTATATTCTTTTAAAAATTTTCATTATTAAAAGGAAAGTAACTTAAAACAGGATAAATCAAGGGAAGTAACCCAATAAATACACAGTTTTTGTTACACAACGGCAGTTAGCCTGAGGTAAAAATCGTTGCTTACCAGTATGTTTGACACCCAAGCTGACAAGTGAAGCCATATAATTATGCATGTTAATTGATTTACAGGTAAAATATAACTTCAGGTAATGTCAGTTACACCAGATGCCTGAGATGTTATGTTGGGCAGAAATTTTTCATTCATGAAAAATTTCATACACGGGATTTTTTCAACGGGAGGGGGGAGTAGACCCCTGAAAACGGGATTATTGTATTCCGTCGGGAGGTTCACATGTATGCCTATTCAAACCATATCATTATTATTTGCTTTTATATATAAATCAGAAATAACCAATTTAAAATGGAAAATGTTAAAGAAAAAAAAGGAAAAAAAAAATCCCCCCCCCCAATTTTTTGAACCCCCTTATGATTCATCGCCCCCAAACTCAATCCCAGCTTTCCCTTTGTGGTATGGTACCTTGCAGTACAATTTCAGAGAGATTCATACACTTGAACACAAGTTATTGTCTGGAAACTAGAAAAATGCTTGTTTTTTGGCCCCTTTTTGGCCCCAAATTCCTAAACGTTTAGGGCAATTACCCCCAAACTCAATTCCAGCTTTCCCTTTGTGATATGGAACCTTGCAGTACAATTTCATAAAGATCCATACACTTACACACAAGTTATTGTTCTGAAACTAGAAAAATGCATGTTTTTTTTTGCCCTTTTATGGCCCCTTATTACTAAAATTTTGAGGGAAAACCCCCAAAATCAATCCCAGCCTTCCCTTTGTGATATGGAACCTTGTAGTACAATTTCATAAAGATCCATACACTTACAAACAAGTTATTGTCATGAAACTAGAAAAATGCTTGTTTTTTGCCCCTTTTTGGCCCCTAATTCCTAAAATTTGGAGACAATTACCCCCAAAATCAATCCCAGCATTCCCTTTGTGATATGGAACCTTGTGGTACAATGTCAGAGAGATCCATACACTTACACACAAGTTATGTCTGGAAGTTAAAAAAATGCTTATTTTTGGCCCCTTTTGGCCCCTAATTCCTTAACTGTTAGTACCATAACCCCCAAAATGAATCCCCACCTTCCTTTTGTGGTATTGAACCTTATGGTAAAATTTCAATGAGATCCATTCACTTAAACTAAAGTTAGAGTGCGAAAACTAATGTGTCTTCGGACGACGACGACGACGACGACGAGGACGACGACGACGACGACGACGACGACGCCAACGTCATACCAATATACGACCACAAAAATTTTTTTGCGGTCGTATAATGACCTATTGCATATAGTATTAGAAAAAAAGACCAAAACTCAAAAACTTAACTTTGACCACTGAACCATGAAAATGAGGTCAAGGTCAGATGACACCTACCAGTTGGACATGTACACCTTACAATCATTCCATATACCAAATGTAGTAGACCTACTGCTTATAGTATCTGATATATGGACTTGACCACGAAACCTTAACCTTGTTCACTAATCCATGAAATGAGGTCGAGGTCAAATGAAAATTTTCTGACAGTCATGAGGACCTTGCAAGGTACGCACATACTAAATATAGTTATCCTATTACTCATAATAAGAAAGAAATTAACATTACAAAAAATGTTGACTTTTTTTTCAAGTAGTCACTGAACCATGAAAATGAGGTCAAGGACAATGGATATATGACAGACGGAAACTTCGTAACAAAAGGCATCTATATACAAAGTATGAAGCATCCAGGTCTTCTAGCTTCTAAAATATAAAGCTTTTAAGAAGCTAGCTAACGCCGCCACTGGATCACTATCCCTATGTCGAGCTTTCTGCGACAAAAGTCGCAAGGCTCGACAAAAAAATGCACTACCAAATAACTGTGTTCTCAAGCCTGTTCAACTGTTACACCACTGTCTCAGGTTAGGTGAAGGGTTTGGCGCCCGCAGACATGTTTAACCTCTCCACAATCTGTATGTGCCTGTACAAAGACAGGAGCCTGTTATTCAGTGGTTGTCGTTTGTTGCTGTATCATATTTTTGTGCATCAATCAGGCCATTAGTTTGCTCGTTTGAATTGTTTTATATTTGTCATTTCTGGGCCTTTTATAGCTTACTATGCGGCATGGGTTTTGCTCATTGTTGAAGGCGGTACAGTAACCTATATTTGTAATCTTCTACTTCATTTGGTCTCTGGTGGAGAGTTGTCTGATTGGCAATCCTCCCACATCTTCTTATTTTTAAATTATTGGTAGATCATATTTTGCTGAACAGTTTTGTTTTTAAAATTTCTAAAATTGCTCTGTATTTATTGTAGTTTCTACAAAAAAGCAAAAAATAGGTAAACTAGTCTTTCAAGGGCAATAACTCCTATAAGGTTAATTGAAAATTCATCCATGTTGACCTGTTTATAGATCATATATAGATGAACATTTTTATTATCAAGAGATTCTCTCCATCAACTATAGTTTTCTAAAAAAAAATGCAAAAAGGGTAAAAATTAACAGCAATAACTTCTATAAGATTAAGGGGTCATTTAAAGATTTCTGTCTAGTTGACTTTGTGTTCTAGTTTTTTTTTTGCTGTATAAAATTTCTCTCTTTCTGTTATAGTTTTCAAGATAATAGCCAAAAAATGTGAAATTCACAAAAATTGACATTTCAGGGGCAATAACTGCAAAATTCTGAAAATTCTGGATGAGATAGACCTTGACCTGCTGATCAATTAACCCATGTTGTATTTGCTCTAACTGCTTTAGTTTTAGAGATATCAGCAAAAAACTTTAAAATTTACTAAAAATTTCATTGGCAAGAACTCCAAAATGAGTTGTTTTCAAAAAAAATTCCACAGGAGGTAGAATCTTAACCTGCTTATTATTTCAACCCCATTCAGATTTGACCTTTAACCTGCTGATATCATTTCAACCCCATTCAGATTTGCTCTAACTGCTTTAATTCTTTAGATATAAGCCAAAAACTGTATTTTACCCCTATGTTCTATTTTAAGCAAAAGCAGTCATTTTTGTTGATTAATCAAATCCCCAGATACAATTTTTAACTTGACTCTATAAAGGAACATTCAGGTAAAGTTTGACAGACGCAAAGTGATGACAAAAGCTCTCATTGCCTTGTAAGCCAGATGAGCTAATAAAAGTATGATACATTTAATAATGACAATTTTTAGAATCTGATCTAAAAAATAAAGGCTTTAAGACAAGTGAAGTACAATGTATTAACTCAGGCTTGATGACAGGATTCAATTATGATATCAATAAATTGTTTTCATAAGGGAGATTTGTCAATTTTTTTTAACAATAAAACTGTTATCACAGAGATATGTCTCGCCTTTTTGTAATTTTGATCATGCAAATGTTGAAATTAAAATAGCAATACTTTAACATGTAAGTTATGCAAATATTCAAAGTCGATGAACCATGACTGAAGGTATATGGCTAAACAATCTCCATGGAATGAGATGTGAAAAATGCTAATACAACTGCATACCAAAATACCATTGACTTATTATAAGTCCTTCCCTTTAAACAAACCTAAACACAAACATTAACTTGTAAACTATGTAAAAGTTTCAAAGTCAATGAACCATGATCAGGGGTGGGGCTATATAATCTCCATGGAAACGATACTTGCAAATGCCAATAAATTTGCATACCAAATATCATTGACTTAACATTAGCAGTTCATCTTAAACTGATCTAATCACAAACGAATACATGTAAACTAGCAAAAGTTTCAAAGTAAATAGACCATGACTGAGGGGGTGGGGCCAAATATTCTCCATGGAAATGAGATGTGCTAATGCTTATACAACTGAACACCAATTAACATTGGCCTAACACTAATGGTTCCCCTTGAACTGACCTAATCACAAACTAATACATGTAAACTTAGGAAAATTTTCAAAGTCTATAGACCATGACTAAGGGGGCGGAGCCAAATAATCTCCATGGAAATGAGATATGCCAATGCTTATACAACTGCATACCAAATATCATTGACCTACCACTAGTGGTTCCCCATAAATTGACCTAATCACAAACTAATACATGTTAACTATGAAAAGTTTCAAAGTCAATAGACCTTGACTGAGGGGGCGGGGCCAAATAATCTCCATGGTAATGAGATGTGCCAATGCTAATACAACTGCATACCAAATATCAGTGACCTACCACTAGTGGTTCACCATGAACTAGACCTTATCACAAACTAATACATTGTTGACGCTGCCGACGCTAATGCCGGAAACAGCATACCTATGTCTCGCTTTTTGACTCTGTCAAGACGAGACCAAAAATAGGCAAATTTCAGGAAAAATTTCGTAATTTTTTATTGTTCTATAACCCATGGAAACATATCATTTTAAAACTAAATTAAAATGTTTTACTGAAATACATATAATCAACAGTAAGTTTGTCAAGTTTAAAAATTTTAAAGATACATTAAATCTTTCAACAAATCTGCCACATAAATGTACGTTTCCAGAGAATTCCCGAGAGGAATGTGCTTGTAAATTTTGCATTAGAATTTTGACAGACACATAAATACTTAGAAATGATAATAAGGTAAATTGGTATGCCAAAAAACAAGGAAAAGACTTATAATAGAGACTGAATAACTCTTCTTAAGATAAGACTTCAAAATTCATACATAATTTTTATTTCATTGTTCTTTTGGAAGACAAATATGGTTTTGATATTCAACTTTTCATATACTTTTTACCTGAAAACAGGTTATACAATGTGATGCAGCAGTTTATGTTTTGTAATGAATGTTTGTTTTAAGTATATCTAGAAAAAATAAGTAACTTTCATTAAATCATCCCCTTGAATATTCAGGAAATATTTGCAACTAAGCATTAAACACACAACAATCAATTAATCCTTTATCTATATGAGGAAGAATGAGTTTTTAAGTTTATTTTTCAAAAGTAGACATTATAGATTAGAATTTAGATATTTTTCACTGGTCCATTGATTTTTTACATCTTGGAAGGTGACATTTCCTATAGTAATATTGTTTCCCTTACTCAACACATTCATAATCATGTCAAATAGTACATATTATCTTACTTGTCTCTATATTTGAAATGTTTGAATGACTGAGCAATTACATGTTGAACCAAATCATCATGTCCTGGATGGAAGTTTAACTGAAAATAAAATATTAAACAATTTTAACAATAATAAATGTGTGGTAAAATCCATATGAGGCAACAACCCAACAAATCAATAAAAAACCAAATCACATCAAAATCAGAAATTCAGTATAGTAATATAATCATGACATATCATATCGATAAATTTTTTGGCTTCTAATTATTTTGCTCAGTTAACAGTTTTTCAGAACAAATACATCTATTTTTCAAAGGCAGATATAACATCATGTAAAATCTTATAACTATCTTATAATAAGTGATCCCAGTGAAAAAAAAGGTTTTAAAAAAAATTACCAGAGTCTGATTTTTTCACCAGTTTTCTTTTTACAGCAAAGCCTTTCAATGTTTTTTTATGATATGAGAATCAAGCTTTGTAAAAGTCCAATTCACCAGAAATGTGTTAAAATTTATCAAAGATTCAAATGGCAGGGGTGGGCAGTTTGATTCTTAAAACATATATAGAGAATGGTCTATACTGAACATTTAAATATATGGAAATATAAATTGTAAGTGTGGGGAATCATCTTTAAACAATTCCATAATCGATGGTGCACAACCTCATAGGTTTACAAACCCTCTGAAATTCCAAAGATCTAGATTAAAAACAAAAATTGTTACATTTTCAAAATTTTTGGCAAAAAAATCACTAAGTTCTCCAGTCTAAAAATGGGAAAAAATTATTTAAACAATTCCATAAAAGCAAGTGCACATTGCAACTAATTTTTACAGTTTGTTCTTATGTTGTGCTGTAACACCACTGTCCCAGGTTAGGGGGAGGGTTGAGTTGAGGGCTGCTAACAATATCATGGTTTACATGGGTATAGGTACCAGCATATACATTCGGCTCTATATACTCTGTTGACTGGGTAATTGTGTTGACCAGATTTTAATTAGGGTTTGTTTGACTTGAACTTGGTATCGGAAGGCTGTTTTGTTGGGCTGTTCTCTTGAATTCAAAATTTTCATTCTTTAAGGCATCTAATTGTCTTCTTAATTGTGTGAGCTCATCACTATCAGAATTGGTTGATCTTGAAATTAAAGCGCTATCTTTTCGACTTTGAGTTGGAACAAGGAATGGATTAGAGTTATTCTCAATTTCTTGACTTATAGCAGGTACGTTGATAGCATGATCCATGGTACGAGGATTTTCATCAGTCAAATGAGTTATCTCCCTTTCTCCTTCATTAATTGAAGTAGGCAATATATTTGGATACTTATTTATTGTCTCCCCATGATTGAATTCAGGGATATTAAACCTTGCATTACAATAATCAGGAGAGTTTCTAGGTTCCCCTGAAAAATGGGCCTCCATATTTCCAGATGATATGGCATGGTTGGGAATGGCTAAACTACTTGGTGGGTTTATTCCAGATCTCCTTCCTCTTCCCCTTCCTAAAGACATTGATCCCGTAGACATACTAGGTTGTCTATTTCTCAAATTATACATCTTACTTTTGACTGCTAAATGGAATCAAGAGTTTAAATTTACCAATCAACTTGGATTAAATTTTATCCTTGTTAATCTTGTGCTTTTTTTTTTTTAGATTTATTCAACTTAGATGACTTTTATCCTTGTTGAAATTGATAAAGAATTTCCTATGCCTTACTTTTAAAACACAATTTGGATTATGAATCTATCCTTACTTTGTGAAATAGACTATATACATTACAAATTTGAAATAGACAATAGACGTTCAACTTTGACCTTAATGAAATATAACTACAACTTAGATTTATATTTATCCTTGTTGTAAAACTTATTTTGTGAAATGTACTATTTAATTTACAACTTTGAAATAAACTATAAATTTTACAACTGGACCCTATTGAAAAATTATGGTTTAATATTCAACTTGGATTCAGATTTTATTCTTGTTAAAATAGACTCCTAAATTTAAAACTCAACTTGGATTAAAGTTTATCCTTGTTGAATATGGTATTCAATATTAATCTAGCTCAACTTGGATTTTATTTTATCCTTGTTGAAATTTGACTTAAATTTTTTATCTTTTAACATTCAAGTTAGATTAGAATTTATCTTTGTTGATGTATACCCCTTAACTATTTTATTTCAACTTGGATTCATATTTATCCTTGTTGATATATATTCAAATTTAATAATTATAACCTTTTCAACTTGGATTAAAATTTATCCTTGTTGACATAGATTTTGTTTAACTATATTATTTCTTTTCAACTTGGATTTATATTTATCCTTGTTGATATATATTTAAACTCAATAAATATTTTCCTTCAACTTGGATTAGAATTTATCCTTGTTGAATACAAAATTAATGAAATATATACTATAAGCTTAATTAATCTCACCAACTTTTCTTTCACCTTTTGTTGAAGTGTCCTTTTTTATTATGTTCATTTTTTTTTTAAAGTGTAAACAAATATGGACAGTAACAATTTTAAAATATTTTTACTTATCAATTGCGTGCCTAATAAAATATTCACGTAGATTCTTAAAATTTTCTTTAAAAAGAAAACTAAATCCGCTGCCACCAGTGTAAAGATTGTTCTCAGTCTTTCTTGCAATACTTTTAGTCTCTAGATATTTATTCTATTCAATAGTTGAAATACCTTTGCCAGGTTTTCTAAATAAAATAACAACTAAACTACTATTGGAAGAAATAGAAATTATTATTATAACTATAAATTGCTACTAAGAATGAAAGTACAATATGTTTAACGGTTTTCTGTGATTTTTGTGCGTGAAGTATTTACCTATTAAGTTTCTGTAAAGATGAGTTCTAATTCGTTTTGCTAGTCGGAAAATCCCCTTTTTTTAATACTTAGCACGCCTTATCCTTGCGTGTAAGAAAATTCCATTCAGTGCACCTCTAGAAGAAGCATTTGTATGTATTTCCAATAGGGTCCTATGTTAAACTAAGTCCCCCGCTGGCGGCCATCTTGGATGATGCATCGGCTTCAAAGTAACAACACTTGGTCATCACCTCATAAGGAGCATTCATGCCATATTTGGTTTCATTCCATTCAGTGGTTCTCTAAAAGAAGACATTTGTATGTATTTCCCATAGGGTCCTATGTTAAACTTAGTCCCCCGCTGGCGGCCATCTTGGATGATGGATTGGCTTCAAAGTAACAACACTTGGTAAGAACCTCATAAGGCGCATTCATGCAATATTTGGTTTCATTCCATTCAGTGGTTCTCTAAAAGAAGACATTTGTATGTATTTCCCATAGGGTCCTATGTTAAACTAAGTCCCCCGCTGGCGGCCATCTTGGATGATGCATCGGCTTCAAAGTAACAACACTTGGTCAGCACCTCATAAGGAACATTCAGGCCATGTTTGGTTTCATTCCATTCAGTGGTTCTTTAAAAGAAGACATTTGTATGTATTTCCCATAGGGTCCTATGTTAAACTAAGTCCCCCGCTGGCGGCCATCTTGGATGATTGATCGGCTTCAAAGTAACAACACTTGGTCAGAACCTCATAAGGAACATTCAGGCCATGTTTGGTTTCATTCCATTCAGTGGTTCTTTAAAAGTAGACATTTGTATGTATTTCCCATAGGGTCCTATGTTAAACTAAGTCCCCCGCTGGCGGCCATTTTGGATTATGGATCGGCTTCAAAGTAACAACACTTGGTCAGAACCTCATAAGGAACATTCATATCATGTTTAGTTTCATTCCATTCAGTGGTTCTCTAAAAGAAGACATTTGTATGTATTTCCCATAGGGTCCTATGTTAAACTAAGTCCCCCGCTGGCGGCCATCTTGGATGATCGATCGGCTTCAAAGTAACAACACTTGGTCAGCACCTCATAAGAAACATTCATGCCATGTTTGGTTTCATTCCATTCAGTGCTTCTCTAAAAGAGAACATTTGTATGCATTTCCCCATAGGGTCATATGTTAAACTAAGTCCCCCGAAGGCGGCCATCTTGGATGATGGATCGGCTTTAAAGTAACAACACTTGGTCAGAACCTCATAAGGCGCATTCATGCAATATTTGGTTTCATTCCATTCAGTGGTTCTCTAAAAGAAGACATTTGTATGTATTTCCCATAGGGTCCTATGTTAAACTAAGTCCCCCGCTGGCGGCCATCTTGGATGATGCATCGGCTTCAAAGTAACAACACTTGGTCAGCACCTCATAAGGAACATTCAGGCCATGTTTGGTTTCATTCCATTCAGTGGTTCTTTAAAAGAAGACATTTGTATGTATTTCCCATAGGGTCCTATGTTAAACTAAGTCCCCCACTGGCGGCCATCTTGGATGATTGATCGGCTTCAAAGTAACAACACTTGGTCAGAACCTCATAAGGAACATTCAGGCCATGTTTGGTTTCATTCCATTCAGTGGTTCTTTAAAAGTAGACATTTGTATGTATTTCCCATAGGGTCCTATGTTAAACTAAGTCCCCCGCTGGCGGCCATTTTGGATTATGGATCGCTTCAAAGTAACAACACTTGGTCAGAACCTCATAAGGAACATTCATATCATGTTTAGTTTCATTCCATTCAGTGGTTCTCTAAAAGAAGACATTTGTATGTATTTCCCATAGGGTCCTATGTTAAACTAAGTCCCCCGCTGGCGGCCATCTTGGATGATGGATCGGCTTCAAAGTAACAACACTTGGTCAGCACCTCATAAGAAACATTCATGCCATGTTTGGTTTCATTCCTTTCAGTGCTTCTCTAAAAGAAAACATTTGTATGCATTTCCCCATAGGGTCATATGTTAAACTAAGTCCCCCGAAGGTGTCCATCTTGGATGATGGATCGGCTTTAAAGTAACAACACTTGGTCAGCACCTCATAAGAAACATTCATGCCATGTTTGGTTTCATTCCATTCAGTGGTTCTCTAGAAGAAGTTCAAAATGTAAAAAGTTAACGACGACGACGGATGACGACGACGACGACGGACGACGGACGCCAAGTGATGAGAAAAGCTCACTTGGCCCTTCGGGCCAGGTGAGCTAAAAAAATGGCATTGAAGAGCAATAACTCCAATAAGGAGTAGTCTGATGATTTCAGCCATGTTCTCTTATGTAGATCTGGTCTTGCTAATCATGTTTCCTTATAAAAATTCTCTGTATCTATTATTATTTTCAAAATAATAAACAAAAAAATGGAAAAAAATTGATAAAATTTGATATCCAAGGGCAATAACTCCTATAAGAAGTCGTCTGACAGTTTTGCCATAAATGGACAGAGGCAGATCTCAACATTCTCAGCATTTCTGGCAAGTCAGATTTTCTCTATTCATAGTGGTTTTCAAGATAATAGACAAAACTTGCATTTTACCCCTATGTTCTATTTTTAGCCATGTCTGCCATCTTGATTGACAGGCGGAGTCATTGGACACATTTTTTAAACTAGATACCCCAATGATGATTGAAACCAAGTTTGGTTAAATTTGGCCCAGTGGTTTCAGAGGAGAAGATTTTTGTGTTAAGTTAACGGAAGATGACGACTACGAAGGACGCCAAGTGATGTGAAAAGCTCACTTGACAGTAAATTAGTCATTTAAGGGCGATAACTCCTATAAGTCTTCGTCTTGACAGTTTTCACTTAAATTGGCCCAGTAGTTTCAGAGAAGAATTTTGTAAAAGTTAACGAACGACAACAATGGGCGATGACAGACTCCTGACGATAAAGGTCGCCAAGTTATGAGAACAGCTCACTTGGCCCTATGGTCCTGCATGACCATAGTAACCCAAGTGTTTATTGACAGCATTGTACTATTCAAAGGATAAAGTGAAATCACAGATACACTAACATGGGTTTCTGAAAAGTAGACTTTTAACACAAAATTTAACTAAAGGAAATGTAGGTCATTGTGAATAAATGCATTTTTATATACAGTAGACTCCGACAAATCGGATACCCAAAATGTCAGCAAAAATATCCCATTACCCGATATATTCAATTAGACGATGAATGTATATTCATTGAATATTCTGCAATAATGAGTAGACCTAATCCTGATATGTTACTAGGCCTGACCACTGCTCTATATAAGGGCTGGAGTGATTTTTATTAGTCACATCACCACGATGTTTGTGTAAAAAATTATCAGCTGGTTATGATCGGTTATGTAATGCTCATATTTGTTTTCAGCTTTTAAATCCTATATTTATTAAAGTAAATCAAATGTCCTGAAATATTTATGTGAATAAATATCTACCATCCATAGTTTGTGTCTTTATTTGTTTTGTAAACGAACTAATATCCATTATTTACATTTATCACAGTAAGATAATTTAGCTATAAATAGATCAAAGCATGTTCTGTGTAGTCTCTAAACTAAAATCATATTTGTTATATATTTTATTTCTTTAAATAATCAAATTTAAATTTATGAAGATAATCATGATTAATAAAATATTATTGCATCAAGTATAAGTTTTCTGAAGACTGTTTATGTTTAGGTCATGGTTCTCGATGCTTCTTCACATTTTGTAAACAAAACAAAATGGCGTCCATGACATGTGGTCATGCACATGTTTCAAAAGTTTATCTGACAAAAGTCAGATTTCTCTTGTCAAAAGGGATTTATATGTATATTGCAATAAATTATTCAGAAGGAGGTACATTCAGTTTAAATTATATTTCTGATTCTGTGAGCACTTAGAGTTTTAACAAAATTCTTCCAACGTACTGCTCTTGTATATTTTATAAATAAATTCAAACCATTTGAATTTAAAGGGCATCTAATTCACATTAAAAAGGAAGACAATGAAAAAAGACAACAATTTATTAAGAAATAGTTCCTTTATATTTTTTATATTTAGTAAAAACTAAATTTTTTTGTCTGCAAGATTATAATTTCGTAACTTCCGGGTCCATTTCCTGTCAGAAAAACATTGAAAATATCCGATGGTCCATTGTTTTGAACAAAACTTCCAGAATATTCTTAACCTAATTGCCGATATATTCTTATATCCGATCTTGATCATTCTATAACTTGTCATTGTGTAAACTATATAACAAATATCAAGTCAATATCTTAAAGCATGACAAAATGTGTGTAAAAGCTGATTATTTAAGTAAATTTTCTAAGTCCAAGGACCATAACTCTGCACAAAATCATCAGACTGGAACAAAATTCGAACTAGATCTGTAACTTTACATGATAAAACTATAAACCAATTATCAAATCAATATCTTCAAGCATGACGAAAAAAAGTGTGGAAAACTGATTATTTGAGTGAATCTTCTAAGTCCAAGGACCATAACTCTGCACAAAATCATCAGACCAGAACAAAATTTGAACTTGATCTGTAACTTGTCATGATAAAACTATATACCAATTATAAAATCAATATCTCCAAGCATGACGAAAAAAAGTGCGGAAAACTGATTATTTGAGTAAATTTTCTAAGTCCAAGGACCATAACTCTGCATAAAATCATCAGACCGGAATAAAATTCAAACTTGATCTGTAACTGGTCATGATAAAACAATACACCAAATATCAAATCAATATCTTCAAGCATTAAGAAAAAAAGTGTGGAAAACTGAATTGCCAGACTGATGGTTGGACAGACAGACGGAGTGCAAACCTAAAGTCCCCTTCGACTTCGTCGGTAGGAGACTAATTAACATTAACATATAGGGAAGGGTTTAATGTTTTGAAATAATATTACAATAGCCGATATATTCGTTTAGCCGATATCAGATTAGGTGGAGTCTACTGTACAAAATAACTGTATTAGTGAAATATCAGTCACATTTTAACTTAAAAATATATAGGTGATTGTAGTAATGAAATGTCCTTGATATATTTTACCATCAGTTTCTAAATCATGGATCTGAACATAACAATAACCATATTGAGTTTGATGGACAGACAAGTATTAATCTGTATGCCCTAGCTACATTATGTCAAAATAAAATAGTGTTAATTTGCAAGGGAATAAATAAAAAATAACAACCTTTTTTACATTTAATAACATAATTGAAACATACCTTGGCTAGAACTTCTATCAGTACTAAGCAGTAAATGAATTCAACAGCTAACTGTAAAGAAACATTTCTTCATTCAATGCTGTATATAACATATAGAATACATTGATGTCATATAAAACCACTTCTATGAAAAATGCATAGATTTTGGTCGATTTTCAAGTTGTTTTTGGACCCAACAGTTTTAAGTGCATACAAGTACCCATTAAATATTTAACTATGGTATTTGTCTATATCAACATTAACTCTTTAGTAAATATCTATTTTGCATTTTCATTAACTTGATATTTCCCATTCCTTACAGTGTCAAAATAATGCATTTCTATTTGAGGATTGAGAGGGAGTGGTGGATTTTATCTTTTGTATCATTCCATTTTTGAAGGAATTTATCTCTGTTAATATTCCTTTGTAAGCCCTTTCAGTTTAAGCTTTGCACACACCTATCAACTATTTCAACACAAAAATAACATATTTTCATAATACTCCAATTGTTAAGCCAAAACAGAGCACACCACCTCCTTTGAAGGTGATCAGACAAAAAAACTAAAATTCTACCAAGGTAACAGACATAAGGTTGGAAAACATTATCTTTTCTGTGAAAGGCAAAATAAGGCCAGGCTTTTTTAATTTGTTGGTTTACAGATTTTTTTATGTGAACAAGTCGGGTTGGTCGTTTGGGGAAGAAAAAAACACAAGAATTCCAAACATCATCAGCTGTTTTAAATATACAATGCATGTCATCATCAGTATAAGTTTGTAAAAATTGGGTATGTGTTTAATCATGCTAAGATAATGCATTTAAATAGTTCAATGCAGCTACACAGATATTTTTATTTATATTTCAGGGATAATGTATTTATTAGGGTTGGTGGGAATAAAAAAAAAAACATGAAATGTAAATTTTAAGTTTTTTTTTGAAAATCTGAAAAATTGGGTTGGCAGATCTGCATGATCTGTTAACCAACAAATTAAAAAACCCTTGCCTTATTCATGATAAACACATAGAGGAGAAAGTCAATATGCAAGCTTTGAATTCAACACACAGAGGAGAAAGTCAATAAAAACACCTATGGGAAAAAGTCAGTATCAACCCCTAGAGGAGACAAGGTCAACCCCTAGAGGAAAAGTCAATAGCAACCCCTAGAGGAGAAAATCAATATCAACCCCAAGAGGAGAAAGTCAATATCAACCCCTAGAGGAGAAAGTCAATATCAACCCCTAGAGGAGAAAGTCAATATCAACCCCTAGAGGAAAAGTCAATATCAACCCCTAGAGGAGAAAGTCAATATCAACCCCTAGAGGAAAAGTCAAAAGCAACCCCTAGAGGAGAAATTCAATATCAGCCCCTAGAGGAGAAAGTCAATATCAACCACTAGAGGAGAAAGTCGATATCAACCCCTAGAGGAGAAAGTCAATATTAGCACTCTGAGGAGAAAATCAATATCAATACCCAGAGTAGAAAGTCAATATCAACCCCTAGAGGGGAAAGTAAATAGCAACACATATGTTTTACTCTTCGTCTAAACCTTCTTTTGGTTTGTTTTTTCTACTACTGTTTTTAATAATTTCAAAGTGTGTTCATGTTTGATAGTTTTTTAAAAACTTACATCTCTCCTTTCTAGCAGAAAATCTTTACTTCTGTAAAATTAACAATAAATGTATGATATATTTATCAATTATGGACTTTTGACGAGGTCAATACATTATATATGGACCTGTTCAGATAATATTGATCGTGGACGAGGTCTGAGTGTCAATATAATCTAACAGGTCCATATATAACGTATTGACTGAGTGAAAGTCCTTAATTTATATATTACATATAAAAAGTGCATTATGGAAATGGACTTCAATGTCCTTTCTGTGTATTTTACATTGTATTTTGCAAGATTTTTAATATTGACTGTCAATATAAATATAAATAGAAACATAGCATCCATATTGTTAAAAATAGAAACAAGGCTTCAGGTACATGGAATACCTTTAAATCATGTGATCTTAATAACCAATGAAAAAAGAAAAATGCTACACCATATGTAATATAATATTGTATTGTCTATATAGTTATGTTAAAAACATTCATACCAACTTGTCTTGCTACGATTTAAAATGTGTTACTATTAAATTTTCTATTCCATTTTTCTTTTGATCATGTTCATGCAGTCATAAGAAACAACTTTTTTGAAATTATAATGTTAAGGAAATTATTGAACCAATGCATGAATATATACTTAACTATGCACAATTTTTTTACATTTATTATGAATACATGACATATAATGGACAAAAATTATTTCATTCAGTTAATGCTTTGATTGCTATCTAACTTTTGTGTTTTATGGCCAAAGTTTACCCAACGTGACCTTACTAAACAGCAACACAAAATCGTGAGCACATAAAAAAGAAGTGAGATGAAAGACATACAATAGAGCGATGTTTTGTTTTTTTTATAATTTCCATGCATTTCTTTTTGTTAATTAAAAAGTTGTTCATTGATTTGGTGTTTTAAATTTTTTCTATCAGAATCAATTAACACTATCTGACTTCCATGTTTGTTTACATTTCTTTCATCACATTTTTTCCATCACAGTTGTGCTGTGCAGTTGTGGATGTACTAACGAGAGGTCTCGTGATAATATAATTCAATCTTTTTGTTAGAAATTAGTGCTTTGCAATACTTTTCTTTAATTTTTGAAAATCATATTCTTTTACACATCAACTTATGAATATGATGGGTCTTTTTCCTGACCTTTACTAAAGCTTTTTTGAATAATTCTTTGTTTGCTAAATCAAAGCCAATATTGCTTTAAGTGAGATGTTTAACTGTTATCTATCAATTAATATTTTCTCTTAAAATGCTGCAGATGTGATTTGTATGGTCACTTTTTTACTTTTGGCACCCTAAACAATCTGAACTTTTGTTCGTCTCTGGTGGATAGTTGTTTCATTGACAATAATACCTCATCTCCTTTTTTTTCAATAACACATCAGAATGAAGATATAAAATGTAACAAAGTTTTGAAGCTGTTCAGCCTAAACATTTACAAAATTTATAAAAATTTTACTTAAAAATTAACTTTGATTTTGCCATTTAAATAACTGAATTGTCTGTCTTCTTATGTTTCTAGCATTCACTGTTTTAGACCTTTTTTTCACCTGAGCCTTGGACATACATGTACATACACTGTTTTAAACCTATCCTTTATCCTTCGCCTGCCTTATTAAACTTTTCATATTGTTTTAAACCTACCCTTTACTTTTATGCCTTTGTCGAACACCACCGTCATCAATTAACATCTGTCTATCAAACCAAAGAAATAAACTCCTCAGCAACGAAGGTAATGTTTGTTCTGCAACACTGCCTAACGCATTCAGTAACTGAAAATAAATAAAAAATGTTAATGACAGATATATGATCACTTTGACTACATTATTTCTTTTGATGGAAGGTTGATTAATTTTGATGCAAATTTTAGAATTTTTCTTATCAGAAATGAAAAGTTACAGTGAGATCTTCAACATAAAGCAAAAACACTTTCACCTCACTGCAAGTTCAAGACAACAAAGATTCAGTTCATAAATCTGATGCTCTTTTCTACATGGTTCAACACCATTTACTGTTATCTTTGACAAAACTATTTTAGAAATTGACATTTTACATGGGTTCATTATTTCTCATCAGATTTTACGGTCTTTATCTTGTTGATATTTGTTTTGGGCAACAACTGAGCCCTTAGTTAGTTCAGTCAAATCATTACTGAATACTGTTGTCTCCTAGCACAAAAAAAATGCTGTCTTAGTACAGTGAAACATTATTACAAACTATCAAAAAGAACAAAGTTTCCTAGAAATGTTAAAACACGGTTTTATTAAAATTTATGATACAACTAGAAGGCCAAAAGGGCATGAATCACACACTTTGGATAATTAAAAGTATTGATATTCATTTGCCCATTCAAATCATTAACTTTCAAATATTCAGCATATTGACATTTAACTAAAATCAAGGCCAAAAATTCCTTTTTCTCTTCTATGCCGGGATTACATGACTTATTTACATAATAAGAGTGCACAGGCTGAATCGTTTTGCCTGAATTATTGACCATGATTGAATTTTTTATTAAAAGTCTTCAAGATCACAGTATTAATACCCTTAACATATGAACATAAAATCAGGTCAAGGTCAGGTGAATCAAATCTGATCAGTATAATCATTCTGTACATCAAATATAGTTGACTTATTGCTTATAGTATCTTAGAAACAGACCTAAGAAAGAAAACATAATGTTTACCACTGATTCATTAAATGAGGTCACAGTCAGGTGAGCAGATTTCTTTACCAACATGTACACCTAACAATCATTCCATACACCAAATATAGTTGACTTATAGCTTACAGCATCTAAAAAAAGAGGCTGCAAAGAGCTTGTATCGCTCACCTGGATCTATGTGCATCTTCAACAATTGGCCACTCACCAACGTAATAGACTAGAATATAATTAATTACCAAAATATCTTTTTATTGATCCTGTATTGCTGATGATTTTTGCTGTTAACAGTTTCTCACAATCTATTACCTATATAGATTTTGCTCAAAATGCAAAAAAAAGGAATAAAAATCATCATTTACAAGGTTAACTCCTTAAGGAGTCATCCAATGGTTTGGTCGCATTGGCATTTTTGTAGATCTTGTACAGCAGATAATTTTTGCTGTTCACAGTTTCTACTTTTGACTATCATAGTTTGCCAAATTCTTAAAAGTAGTCTAAAATTGTGATTTTAGGCCAATAACTTATCCAAAGGTTTCAGTTACAAGGCATTTTTGGAGATCTTGTTTTGCTGAACATTGTTTTATGTTTGGAGTTTCTACCTTATTGTTATAGTTTTCTAGATAATTGGCAAAAACACAAAAATTAATCAAATTCATTTAAGGCACTCCTATAATTGGGTCATTCAATTGCTTTTAATCACCATGGCATTTTTGTAGAATTTGTATGGCTGATCATTTTTGCTGCTTACAGTTTCTACATATCTATTATAATTGCCATAATCATGTTTTCATCCCACATGGGATGGTATTGAAATGTGACCTATAATAAACCAATTTGTCCCATCATTGATGATCTAAGGACAGTTAATCATTATGTGGTTGTCGAAATTTCTTACATCAGAGTATGTACTAAAATAAAGGAATTCAATTTCAATATCCTTCAAAGGATCTATATTAAGCTACTGTGGATTCATTTATTTTCGTGGTTATCAATTTTCGTGGATTGAGGAAAACTTACATTTTCGTTGATACTTGAATTCGTGGTTTGCCGATTTCTGTGTACAAAGCCTATAGACAATGTGTAATTCGTTGAACATATGAATTCGTGGTTTAACTGTACCCATGAAACCCACGAAAATTGGTACCCAACGAATAATAATGAATCCACAGTATGTTAACAAAAGTGTCCAATATATAATCCCAGTTTGTCCCACCCTCTATGCTAAATGTAATGATTTTTTAATAGGGTTGGAAAGAAACTGGGATTTAAAATAAGAAAGTGTCTTACATATATTCCAGTTTCGTCCCAGCCTATGGAAATTAGTTATATTTAACATAGAGTTGGTAAACGTAAAGGCAGGTTTGACTGTATATAGATAAGAGTCTTATATTAGTCTCACTTGAAACAAATGAAATAAAATAGTGGAAAAGAACTGGTACCATATAGGTAATGGTTTCAATTCCTTATTATACATAAGGGAATAAAAATTAAGATAGAAAAAATATTAACGTGGTGGGACGGTACTGGTAAATATAGGTAACATTTCAATCCTGTGGTAAGGATTGGGGGAAAAAATGTGAGACAAAATTGGTACCATATGGGGAGATTTATCACTCTTGGAATAATAATTGAAATAGAGGGGGGAAAAGAGTGGGACAAAACTTGTACCATAAAGGTTACATTTTCAGTCCTTGGAGTATGTTAAAAAATAAACTGTTATCACAGAGATATGTCTCGCCTTTTTGTAATTTTGATAATGCAAATGTTGAAATTAAAATAGCAATACTTTAACATGTAAGTTATGCAAATATTCAAAGTCGATGAACCATGACTGAAGGTACATGGCTAAACAATCTCCATGGAATGAGATGTGCCAATGCTAATACAACTGCATACCAAATACCATTGACTTATTATAAGTCATTCCCTTTAAACAAACCTGTAAACACAAACATTAACTTGTAAACTATGTAAAAGTTTCAAAGTCAATGAACCATGATCAGGGGTGGGGCTATATAATCTCCATGGAAACGATACTTGCAAATCATGCAAATGCCAATAAATTTGCATACCAAATATCACTGACTTAACATTAGCAGTTCATCTTAAACTGATCTAATCACAAACTAATACATGTAAACTAAGCAAAAGTTTCAAAGTAAATAGACCATGACTGAGGGGGCGGAGCCAAATAATCTTCATGGAAATGAGATATGCCAATGCTTATACAACTGCATACCAAATATCATTGACCTACCACTAGTGGTTCCCCATAAATTGACCTAATCACAAACTAATACATGTAAACTATGAAAAGTTTCAAAGTCAATAGACCTTGACTGAGGGGGCAGGGCCAAATAATCTCCATGGTAATGAGATGTGCCAATGCTAATACAACTGCATACCAAATATCATTGACCTATCACTAGTGGTTCACCATGAACTAGACCTAATCACAAACTAATACATTGTTGACCCCCCTGCCGCCGTCTGGGCCAAATAATCTCCATGGTAATGAGATGTGCCAATGCTAATACAACTGCATACCAAATATCATTGACCTATCACTAGTGGTTCACCATGAACTAGACCTAATCACAAACTAATACATTGTTGTCGCCGACGACAGAAACAGCATACCTATGTCTCGCTTTTTGACTCCGTCAAAGCGAGACAAAAACTAAAACAAGTAAGAAAAAAACTGATACCAAAAAAGTAAATTCTTCATTCCTAGGAATGAAATTACAATAACTGAAATAAAATAGTAGGGGGAAAATAAAATATGTTTTATCACAAGGTTATACGCAAGTCAATTTGCAAAAATGAAGTGGTGGGACCAATCTGGTACTGTAAAAGATATATTTTCAACAACGGGCCTTATATAATAAACTGTTGACACAGAGATATGTTTCGCTTTTTGTAATTTTGATAGTATGATGCGAATGTTGAAATTCAAATGGCAATATTTAAACATGTAAACTATACAAAACATTCAAAATCAATGAACCATGACTAAAGGTGCAGGGCAAAATCAACTCCATGGAAATGAGAAATGCCAATGCTTATAAAACTGCATACCATTTATCATTCACTTATCATAAGTGGTTCCATTTAAACTACGGTAACCTAAACACAAACTTTAACTTGTAAACTATGCAAAAGTTTCAAAGTCAATGAATCATAACGATGTGTTGGGGCCATATAATCAACATTGAAATGAGACTTGCAAATGCTTATACAACTGCTTACCATATATCATTGACCTAACATTAGAGGTGAATCATAAACTTATATATAATCACAAACTATAACATGTTAACTATGCAAAACATTCAAAGTCAATAGACCATGACTCAGGGGAATGAGAAGCAAAATAATCTCCATGGAAATGAGATGTGCTAATGCTATACATCTGCATACCAAATATCCTTGACCTACCATTAATGATTCCCCTTAAACTGACCTAATCACAATCTTGTACATGTAAACTAAGAAAAATAGAACATGACTGAGGGGGCAGTGCTGAATAATGTCCATGGAAATTAGATCTGGCAATGCTAATACAACTGCTTATCAAATATTATTGACCTATCACTAATGGGTCTCCTTAAACTAACCTAATCATAAACTAATAAATTGTTGACACCGCCGCTGGAAACAGCTCGCCTAAGTCTTACTTTTTCAACTCAGTCAAAGCGAGAAAAAAATGAAAATATGTGGGACAATTGGTAAGGATTATGGGAAATCCTTGATTATTGTCAAATAGACAAAACTGGTATCATATTATATAAGTGATATATCAAAATCTAGATTGTAATTTAGATAATGAAAAATGAAAAATATTTTTTATCAGTAGGTGGGATTTTAACGTATAAATGGCCATCACAATATATACCAAATCATTATATGAAGAGAAAGGAGAAACTTACATAATTTTTTTTGGTAATGTAATTTTGTATGCATTTTTCTAATATTTGTAGACATGCTTTAATCTGATGGCCATACTGTGACCTATAAATGTTAATATCAACATCAGTTGAACTCATGTGGATACTGTAAATTCAGAAATTATTGCAAATAATGTAGCTCTGTATGTATCGCAATAAAAAGAACTTGTATTCTGAATTCGATATATATATATATCTGTATGCAGATTTCACATTTTTGTCCATTCTTCAAAAGTTGCAAAAATAAATGCACACAATAATTTCAGAATTTTACATGTACAGTAGTTGCCTCAATGGCAATCATACCACATCTTTCTTTCTTTTCCCTTTTTTTAATCAAATGGGTAAATGTATTTTAAACACAGTGATATCCATCAAACAACATTTTCTTTCTTTTAAATTACCTGATCAAACTGTGGATCTTCTCCTCTCTGTAAAGATTTTGTCAATGATTTTTCCTGCAAGGCAAATTAAACACTAACATTTTTACTGCTTAAAACAATTCTAAGCTAAACATGAATGATATAAAATATAGCTGAAAAAAGGTGAAAAATATTTGGTACTACATTTGTTCATGTATATTACAAAATGGTTATTGAACTAAAATTGAGTAATATTGTCCCTGTCAGTTTATCATATTGCACTTGCAAGCTTATGCAATATGATATACTAATCGGGACAATTCCTCAATACTAGTGCAATCAGAGGCGGATTTATGGAGCTGCATATATGGTTAATCCAGACTTTTTACCGGTTCCACTCCAAACTTTGTCTAGGTTTTGGGGCCCACAGGCCCCCCTTTTTCAAAATCCTGGATCCGCATCAGGCAATTGCCATAACATATCCCCTATTTTCCAATGGAAGTATAATTATAATAAACACTGTCTTAAAATTTTAAAAAAACTGTACAGAGAAATAACCCATATTTATTATTATTTAATTCCATTAAAAAATTATGCACTACTGTAGTTTTACGTATTTTGTTTTGTAGATAGAAAAAAAGAGATTTTGGTGACCCTATCTTCCTTTTATTTTCTGAAAAAAAATTATAGTTAAAATTTGTAAAGGGTTCCACAGAACCCTGTGTCTGGCCTGGGATTGCTGCTGTAAGTGTAAAAGTGCAATGTTGACTGTATTAAGAGTCCATTTATCAGTAAAATACATAATTTTAAAATAAAATCAATTTTTTTTGTATAGACGCTATTTCTTGATCTTGACGATTAGCTCCTGTCCAAGTTTCATAACAATCCATGAAGGTTTACAAATTTATCATGTCAAAAAAAAGTAGTCACAGACTGCCTGTAAAAACAAAAAAAACATAATAATATTATATTTATACCATATATACTGTAGTGCAGATAAGGTAAAAATGCAAAGTGAGACTAAGTTAGGTTCCTAGTATCTTATAATAAACAAGAATGTGTCCATAGTACACGGATGCCCCACTCGCACTATCATTTTCTATGTTCAATGGACCATGAAATTGGGGTCAAAACTCTAATTTGGCATTAAAATTAGAAAGATCATATCATAGGGAACATGTGTACTAAGTATCAAGTTGACGAACGGACGGAGGAACGGACGGACGGACGAACGGCCACACAGACCGAAAAACATAATGCCCCTCTACTATCGTAGGTGGGGCATAAAACTATTCTAGTATTGGAAGCCAGGGGTCCCAGCATTTATCTGCCATGTGAAAAGGATTATTTTTTTTAAATGTATTTTTTCTAGCATTAGTAAATATTAATTTTTGAGTCCTGTAAAATTTACTTGATTTTTACGAAGTTTTGTCAGGTCTATTAAGTTTTTTATCTTATCATTTCCTGTGTTTCCTAAATTTTCAAATAAAATGATATCCATGTTTAATGGATTAGTTATTTGTGTTTGGTAATACAGTCGAACCTTGTTGTGTCAAACTGGATTGTGTCGAAAACTCGAATGAGTCGAAGTAATTTCTCAGTCCCGGTAAAATTCCGGTTTGATCAATGCATAATTACCTCTGATGAGTCGATCTCAGTTGATTCGAATACTCGGTTAAGTTGAGTAAACTTTATAGTCCCGTCAATGTAAAATTAATGTAAATTGACCCTGATGTCTCGATGTTCGAAAGTAAGAATTTTCGAAAGATGCAGACCTAATGATAAAAATTCAAATCGGATGTATTTCTTATGTAACTTATCATTTTCAAAGGAGATTAAAGCTGAGTAAACATACTTGTTTGTATAACAGTTAAAATTACATGTTTATGGTGACAGGTAATTAACACCTAAAATAGCATTTTAATTCAACATGTTAAATGCATTATTATTCTTACCAATGGTTCTCCTAAGACCTGTTCTATCTTTTTCTCAGCAACTGTGCAGAATTCTAAAAATAATGTCTGAAGTATGTACTCTCCTGGCTTTTTGTTAAATTCTTCATTTCTGTTACCATGATTACTATTATCATGCCTCCACGGAAACCTGATGACAGCAGCAGTGTCAATGTCTTTCTCCATATTTTCTACTATACCTATAGATGCACAATAATGAAAATGTACATTTTATTTCATTTGAACCTTGATGACAGCAGCAGTGTCTTTCTTCATACTTTATAATATATTCATATATACTTAAACAAGGACATCTATGTAACATGTAAACTATTGGGAGATAGTATTGTAAAGATCAAGCTCAGCCTGTTAAAGTATTAAGCAAGTTTCAAGCACATCGCATACAGCAATACCATGAACAGTGCAGAAAAACTTCTTTTTCAACAAAAATCAGTGCAACATTTTATTTATATTTCAATATGTATCTTTGTCATTTGATCTCCTTATTTATATATATATAGATATATATATATATAAAACGTCTATATATATATATATGAACCAGAGTTTCCAAGGAGCCTGAATTGGCAATTGCTCTTATTAGATGTTCACTAACTACTAAAGTTTTACATCATTTAAAGGAAAATTTATCTGGCAACCAAAATGCTTATTTATAAGAAAAATTTTATGGACTAATTTATTTTGAGGAAGATTTCTATAGATTTTAATACACTCTACACGAAAGTTTACCTAATTCAAAGGTTTTTATTCAAAGGAATTTATCAATTAAATGGAATTTAGACGGTTCTTTACTGAGTTTGGCCATAAACTGTGATTTATAACAATAAAGGAACAAGTCTGCTATTAAAGGGGCACAATTGGTGCCCAAAGGAATACCTACAATCTGTCGATAAACTTTTTTGCCGAAATGACATAAAGGATGTCAAAGATAAAACTGAGTGCTTTAATCATCTCATCACACCTCCAGTAAGTATATCTAGCATATTCACCTTTCTCATTAGAGAAAAAGGCTTTATATGAGTTGCAGAAAATAAGTTTGCGACCAGATTTATCAAACAACCATTTAATTAGATAGGAAAACTTTTGTTTGATAAGATTGCATGGAAGTGTAGTATAAAGAGTGGAAGAGTCAAAACTGTCTGAGTGTCAACCAAATCAAAAGGACCATCAAAAGCACGTAATTTATCTAAAACATCCAAAGAATTTTTTACACATTATACTGTTTTGATACCTTAAGGGCTTCAATAATCTATGACATAGCACATTTTACTGTTGTGTAACCTTAAAGTCTTCAATTATCTGTGACATCACACATTTTTCTTTTCCTTGATCATAAAGGCTCAACTTAAGGGCTTCAATCATCTGTGACATAGCACATTTTACTGTCCTCTGACCTTAATTTTCAATAATCTGTGATGTAGCACATTTACTGTTTCTTAATCTATAGGGCAATAACTATAATTTGATTGCTCCACAAGTTCAGTCACATTGATCTTTTGAAGAAATTTTATTGTTTATTTTTTTTTTTTGCTGTAAAAATTGCTCTCTATCAACATGATCAATAAAAGTTTTAAAGATAAAAGTAAGAAATGCTAAAATTTGTCAAATATTGATATTTAATGACAAGAAATCCTAGGCTATGCAGAGTATATTGGAGGTCTCAGTTATATAAGCATTTTTGTATATCTTATATTGTGGATCATTTTTGCTTTTTATCTATATATGACAGTCAAAAGAGAATCCTTCTAATTAAATCTGATTTGATTTTGATTTTTTGTGTTTTTTACGCCACTTTTAAGCACCGCTTTTGGGCTATTTCGTGGCGGCCAGTTTTTATTGGTGGAGGAAGCCGGAGTGCCCGGAGAAAACCACTGACCTTCGATAGGAAAACTGACAATCCTAGTCAATTAAGATTGGAGTCGAGTGCACCCGCACGAGCGGGGTTGGAACTCACAACCTCAGTGTTGACTGGCTAGTGATTACAGTAGTAACTACTTTGACCACTCGGCCACAGAGGCCCCCTAATTAAATCTGTACACAGCACGGAAGTTTTAAAAATATTAGATGGTCCATGCTCTACCTCCCATACAAAGTAAGTTTTCCCTGTGTATATTACCTTTCTCTTCTTTTGAAGCCATCTGTCTGTGGGTCCAAAATACCTTCCTCTGCTATGTATCTTTCATATTTCTATGCAAATAAACAATAAAATAATTTACATGTGTGCATATAATATTGTTTTTTTTTAATATTCAATTATCCTTTATAGTTGGTTAAGAGCTCATCACAGTTTTATATGCTATGGTCATTATTGTGTTCATATACATGTATGCTGACTTTTAATAAGATTTACTTTCTAAATAAAAATGACACTTAATAAATTGTGTGCGTCCAAAACCCTTTTTTGGATTGACCATGATAATAAATTGCTTCGCTGAGCGCAGCTAGATACGACCGCAGATGTCCAAACCCTGAAATGTTGGGGCCAAAATGGACACAATATTCAAGCTTGATACAGGTTTGAATTTGGATTGTAATTAAATATTTGACACATAATAGGTTTCTGCCACAGAATAACTGTAGTCAAAGAACTTAAAAATTGGTTATATGATTTGAATTTATATTCAATTTTTTGCTTTTGTGCAATACACTATGCTATTGCAAATTGACCCCCTCCCCCCCCCCCCCCCTAAATAAAATTTACCCCCATTTTTTGGCTTTTGTGCAATACACTATCCTGTTGAAAATTAACCCCCAAAAAAAATATTTGAAGAAATTTTCTTTTTAATTTCTGAAATCTGAAATGAGGAAAAATAGTCCTCCCCCTCCAAAAAAAAATCTTATTTACCCCCCCCCCCCCCTTTTTTCACCTCCCCCTTTCCCTTATTCCAAAAAAAAATCATTCCCTCAAGATATAGTCATAATCTCAATTCAAATTTTAATAAAATTTGCAACCATAATTACCCTTTTAAATACATCATACAAGTCTTAAAATATAAAATGACATACATAGTCATGGCTAAAATTAATATTAATTAATAGTAACTTTTAAAAATAAATTGACAGCTAATCACCTCAAGACAATCATCATTTCTTAATACATAATTTACAAGCAGTGTAAGGGAGGTAATCAAACATTGTTGTTTTAAATATGGATTGGATTACCTCCCTTAGACTGCTTAAAATTGTCTTAATTGTCCTTTAACCAGAAAAAAAAATTGTTTTTCCCCCTTTTTTGCCTCTATTTCCTAAATGGTTTGAGCCATAACCCCACATAGTCAATCTTAACCATCCCTTTGTTGTATGGAAACTTGTGGTATAATTTCAGAGAGATCCATACACCGTTCCACAAGTTATTGTCTGAAAACTACAAAAATGCTTATTTGGGCCCCTTTTTGGCCTCTAATTCCTAAACAGTTGGGACCATAACCCCCAAAATCAATCCCAATCTTCCTTTAGTGGTTATAAACCTTGTGTTAAAATTTTTTTGATTTCTATCTACTTATACTAAAGTTATTATCCGGAAACCATCTGTCTTCGGACGACGCTGACCTAGACGACAACGACGGCGACGACAACGTGATACCAATATACGATCAAAAAATTTTTAATTTTTGCAGTCGTATAAAAACTATTCAATCCCAAACATTGAAAGCCAAGGATATAATATATATGGATATGTAACATGTGTAGTGACATAAAGAGCTAAAATACCAGAAAGGACCTATAAAAATAGCCAAATTAATCTTTTTAAGGGTCAACTTTGCCTGATGGATTGGAACCTTAGTTTCTCAATAATTCCTCAATTTATCAGAAGGGAACTTTAGAATAGTAGGTTATGTATGATGTCACTACCAAAGCAGAAACTACTATCTGATAATACTTAATGGTAAGATAGTATCTACACGTACTACAAATATAGAGACGAGTAGTTCCAAGGAGACTAAATCACTAATTAATGAAGCAAAAATATCTCATATTAATATTTACAAAAATTTCGGATGCAAAATTGATTTACAAAACTCAGTTTTCAAGACTTTAGCTGGATAGAGGAAATGAAGACTCTAGCTGGCTCCTAAGATTGCTTCAACTGGCAACAACATATTATAGCAGCTGGCGATTTTTCTGTCTCCAACTCTTTTTATAGAAATACTAGTTATATTTCTTTATTAGCAGTCAGTTTGGTACAATTTCTTCAAGATAAGCTAAAAAAACATTGCTGATGTATTATTGGCTTGCAAGTCAGTAATTCAACTCCTTTGAATCCATATTCATCATGTTCATGCAACCTTTAATTTGACCTGAAGTGGATGGGTTGCGCATGTTCAGCATTCATTTAAAAGAAAAGTGAAACAAGGGAGACACCAGTAATAACCATTTCGTTAACTGATCCTGCCCATAAAATTTGTTCTTTTAAAAGTCAAATGATTACAAACATATTTTTAATATATAAGTAACATGAATCAAACAGACCTAGAAAAATCTTCATTATACAATTGCACATGCATTTCGATTCATTTTTACAAAATGTATTTATGTTTATATCCAGTTACATGACAGTGGGCATTCTTAGGATGTCATTCCAATGGCTTATTAGATGGGGACTAGTCTAAAATACGCCCAATATGCTGACACATAATAACGAGTCCATGCATTGTTAACTGTTTCTTTTGGACTTTTTGTAATTTGAATATACATTTTAGTGTTAAAAATCAAATGAGAATTTGGGTTAAATCGGTGTTCATGAATTTGACAGCTAATGTCCCTTTAAAGTATAATGCTAGCTTCTATCATTCTTCCTCAGAAGCTATAACTAGTACAGCAGACACAGGTTTTGTAAACTTTCGTCTTCATATGACTTATCAGTGGTGCTTGAATTAAAACAGTTGGAACAATGGAAGGCCAAGTCATTTGTGTAGTTGAAAAGCATTGAAAACAAAAAGACTGACTATTTATTTTCATCTGTTGCTACGCATGCTAATTTTTTTCTGCATAAAATATGTTTATTTTGCTCACCAAGTTCCTCTGGATTAAACAACAGCTTGTGTAATGGCTTCATTGTCTTATTTAAGTTTTTGAATTATAATACATCTAAAACTACCTGTGAATAGTTAAAACAACAAACTGGACAATTTTTTTAATTGATTTCAGTTCTTAATAGCCCAGTGACCAGAGACAGAATTTTCAAAATTTAATCATCGGAACTACTACACAGCTATATCATATATCATTCGATTGCAAAATGTGTTTACTTTAAAATTAGTTTGGTCGTCAAAAAATAATATGGTGCAGTTTTTCTGAGAAAAAAAAATCAAAGATCACTAACCATTTTCATGAGAAAAAAACATTGAATATTTAATTCCAATTTAAATACCTTTTTGCAGAAAAATAATTGCAAACTTGCATCTGTTTTCTTTCTTATTCAATTTTTCATAAAAAAAAATGGAAAACCATCATTAAATGAGTTTCCTGAGTAAATGTATGCAATTTTACAAAAAGGGGGCTGATTTTCATTTTAAAAAGATGTACTTCTTCAAATAATAAAAACAAAAGCCGTCAAAACTATACAAAATGTATAGACAAATAAGAAAAAAATATGTATTTGTTAATATAAATATCTATTATACCTCAATGAAAGTGGAAAATTTGAGTTTTGGGCATATAGATTGAATTTGGTACATGGCAAACTGGTAACAAAAGTTCTTTCAAAACAGACTTATATTTGACTTTAAACATTGTCATGATGTATCAATAGGAACATTAATCTATGGCAAGCCATTTTACTGTTTATTCTAACTTCAAAATATACCATATATAATTTATAAGATATCTCATATAATATATAAGACATATCATATAATATATAAGATACCTTATATAATCTAGTTTGTATAAGATATCTTATAAACTTTTAAATTCTGATAAACATGCGTTTTTACGCCAGTACTTAAAACCTTCCATCCTTTATGGGTGAATTTTACATAGATAAATAAAATCATATAATAAAAAAGCAAAATGAGGATGTTAAATTTGATGTATGCCTTTTTGTGCTTCTTCGTTACATTTGTTTGTTTTTATAGTGATTAAGATGATAACACAATGTTGACTGCTGTACCCCTATTTTTGACATTTTTACCTATTGTGTCTGTTTGTTTTGTTCACGCATCGTTGTCAATATAATGGAATTTGATGCGACTGTCATACAAGTGACAGGTTTAGCTAGCTTTAAAACCAGGTTTAATCCACCATTTTCTACATAAGAAAATGCCTGTACCAAGTCAGGAATATGACAGTTGTTATCCATTCGTTTGATGTGTTTGAGCTTTTCGATTTTGCCATTTGATTAGGGATTTATTTTCCTTTTTGAATTTTCCTCGGAGTTCAGTATTTTTGTGATTTTACTTTATATATATATGAGATATCCTATATAATTTATAAGATATATCTCATATAATTTTCTTTATAAGATATCTTATAAAGTATATAAGGCCTTTGTTAGTCTTGTATGTTTTTTTAATTTTAGTTCATTTATAATATGTTTCGGAGTTTAGTGTGACGTCTATTTTCACTGAACTAGTACACATTTTTGTTTAGGGGCCAGCTGAAGCCCGCCTGCTGGATTTTCCCACTGTGTTGAAGACCCTTGGTGGCCTTGGGCTGTTTTCTGCTCTTTGGTCGGGTTGTTGTCTCTTTGACACATTCCCCATTTCCATTCTCAATATTATAAGAAATCTTATAAATGTTTTTTATATAAGATATCTTATAAAGTTTATTAGATATCTTGAAGGTAGAATAAATAGTAAAATGGCTTGCCATATTAATCATTATAAGACAGACTAAAAACTTTAAAAATGCATTTTGATTACTAAAACCGCCTTTCATCTGCTAAGAAATTGTTTCGGTTGTTCAATCCCAAACTTAGTCACACAAGACAAACAAATCTCTACTTAGGGGATATTTTAACATCACACTAAACATGCTAAAATCTTAAAATCGATAAGTAATTCAGACCTCCAATGACTACTGTATTGTGGGAACATTATAACAAGGTTCTGACTCTTGGTTGGAACATATATATTCGTACAGGTTAAGCTAAATAAATCACTGATATCAACATTGGTCCAAAGTTTCACTATAGTGGTTAACGAACAAGACAAAAATCTTAAACCACAAATCCTTATAATATTGAG